TTTATACATGCCCTGAAAGAACACAACAGCAATTAATGTATATTTGAATTCTGACCCCAATTAGGACAACATACCTGGTATTGCTGAGCTCCTGTAGGCGGATGGCTGGACAAGAACTTACTAAGCAAAGGAGCTAGGTTCGGATCATTGAGTATGAAATTGGCAAGTGATGATTCAATGCCTTGACTGTTGGTCTGCCTCTGATTGGTCAGCAGACATAAAGACTGCAGAAGGAACACCCAAGTGCGAATCATCAAACATGGCATCATGACGCCAACCTGTGAAAATACAGAAATGACAATACATATGTCACTGATACATACAAATATGTCCTGAGTGCCAGAGTGCACAGCACATCATAGTAGTTATTTCACTATCACTAATTACTGAAAGTGAATTAGTTCATAAACATCATACTTTAGGACATGCACAAATCACAAACGTAGCATAATCTCAAGCAAAATGAGAAACATTTATACAAAAATAAGACACACTACGATAGACAACAAACTGCATTTAATAGAACTGGAGAAACAAAATGATCCTATAATAACCTTCAATCAGCATGCTGGAAGAGGCAGACAATAAAACAGAAGCAAAACAATTAAACAGCTTTGGTGATTTAAAAGTCTGCACCACTTGAAGTGTAAAATACTGTGGTTGTATAATTAATGCAGATTAATTATTAACAGCAGCATCCACTGACCTCCATTAGACTTGCCACAGCATTTTCACTCAGCATGATTATAGGATGACGAGTTGGATCAAATCCTTGTGCACTGCCTGATCCAGATGGGGTATTCCCAGAATTGCTTGCTTCATTCTGAAACTGATCCTCATTTAAAGTCAACCATAGCTGAAGAACTGATTCCAGACTAACACGTCCAGTCCGCAACTGTGCAAACATGCGCTCAAAGCACTGGCTCAACATCTCAATTGAGTTTGTAGGAGTCTGAAATGGAAAAAAAATCTCATAAGCTGCACATACTGATTCAGGCATTAACATAAAATTAACTGAATGACACACAGTATAAAATAAAAATAAAAACTTAATAGAACTGTTTCGTGTGCGCATTTGTGTAGTTACATCAAAAAGTAGAAAAAATTTTTTTTTTTTTTTTAAACTGATGAACTCATCAACGATATTAACAGTGAAGTGTGAAGAATTAGAACTTCATATCTACTAATCAGCCTTATTAAGAGATAGAATCAATAGCTTTTCTCAACTTTTCCTTCTCTATGAAACTACTGTACCCACTGTTCAGGGCTAGATTGCATCAAGACAAGTCTGGCAACAACAAAAAAAAAAAGTGTGAAATAAAACAAAGGCTATCCACTACAAATAACACTGTTCATCTTTTCATTTGTAGAAAAGCATTTGCAGATGCACTTTCATACCAAGCACTAATTTGCAACCAACAATTCACAAAATTAATGTCATGAAACAGCACAGATGACAAACACCTATCATTAAGTCATCCCCCTGTGGGATGCAATTTTTCATTATTTTAAAGCCCCACTCTGGCCAGGGGCCGCAACATACCCTAGCCATAAATATGGTCTAATAGTTTAATGCGGTTTCCGGGACCTCTCCACGGGTGATCCTCATCCGCATGGTGGCACTTTGTGTCATTGGGTGTTTATCGCTTGTGTGATGTCCTGGTATGGGGAAAAATGTACCACTACTACTACTACAACTAAACACCCATCAGGAATTATGACCCAGGGTTCATACTTCCTTCACCTCACATTAAAGATTAAATGATTCTATAAAATCTATATTATGGGTGGGGGGGGGGGGGGGGGAGAGAGAGGGTTATAAAACACTTGTCTAAAAAGAAATTGCTATGATCCAAGAGAAGCTTTCTCACATTTATTTTATAAAGCAAATTATTTTTAATGACAGCAAAGACAAAAAGTTAACAAAGAACCACAAAATGGCAATAAAGGGAAACAAACGTATTGAGAAAGTGAGGATGTCAACATAAGTCCTACAGTGAATGCTGATGAGAGGGGCCATGTGTGTCAGACTGGATTCCACACAAGTTATCATAGGGGTGGAAAAGGGTGAAAAAGATGGAAGAGGAAACTGAATGGTAGCACATGATGATACTGTAAACAATGTCATTATAATAATAGCAAAATAAAGAGACAGAAATAAAAGTTCAAAAAGCTGGAGAATGAACAGTAAGACATACTTGATCCTCCTCAGATCTCTGAGACGAAGCTTCAGCAGCTGTTGTCGGAGTCTCACTGCACACCTCATAGAGAGAACTGTTAATTAATCTTTCGGCCAGAGGTATCTGAGGCAGAGGTGCAGAGAAAGTACTCTGGACATTTCCCATCTGTAGAGACTGCATCACCTGGAAAGATCATGTGTTCACTTTAGACATACATCTCAATGCTGTGCAAATCAGGGCTTGTTAGTAGCTATTTTAATGGTGTCTGTTCCTCTATGAAGACCTGTTGGTCCACAGTAAGATTTACTCTTTCAGTCCCAATGAACGCAAGGGATAATTTTTTGTATCTCTTTACTACTACCTAGGGGCCCGATGCTAAATCCTCTAAGAGTGAAAGAGTTAAAACACTTTAAGAAAGTACACAAGCTACTAGGAAGCTTGACAAAAGGAAAGACACAGACAATAAGCAAACATTCTGAACAAACTCTTTAACACGCTACAAAAAAAAACAAGCATGCTTTACTATGGATGAAAAAATTAAAATGATTCTCTCATAAATTAATTGTAATGACAACAAAAACAGAAATAACAAGTTTCCTTTACAGAAACAAAAATATAGACAGTTGGAATAGGAAAATAAACGAAATGTATAAATACACATGTCTTTATTAGATGAAAGAATGCTGAATATTAAACACCACAAACCTGATACAAATGGACACAATTATTACATAATTTTACACCTTTCTTTGTCCTTTTCATCAATTTGAGCCTTTGAGGTTCATTGTTGTAGGTATCACACATGCCTCCATTCACTTCTGTGACTGGTCTTCTCTTTCCATAGGTGACTCCAAGTATTCATGGGTATGTCTGTATATTATCTGTACACTATATTCTTAGTCCAGCTCGTGGTCTACTCCTATTCAAGTCTTTTGACACTCGACTCTTTAAATAACTGCCGACACGCTAACTCTAAGTAGCTATTGATACTCCAACCTTTTAAGTAACTGCCAACACTCCAATTCTTCAAGTAACTCTTGACACTACAACTCTTATATAACTGCTGATATTCCCTCTTTAAGTAACTGCTGATATTCTACCTCTATTATTAATAACACCACCATCATCAAGAGCCTTGACGACTGGTGTGGGCAATCATGCCTCTCCACAATCTGCCATCTGCAACAGCATGTATCAGCTTGTGTGTTAACACCACTCCATGCCATGACAAAAGGCTGTCAAGAATCCTCTGTCTCTCTTTTCACAGATCTTTCCAGCGGTCACAACATCTTCCAGTTTCCTTCCTCTCATAGCATGACCAAACAAATTTGACGGTCTCTCTCTGACGTTTGTGATAAATTGTCTTTGAGTTGTCTTTCTAATTTGGGTTGCTCTTTCTGGCTGTCCAACAAATTCTAAGGATTCTTCTGTGAAACTATATTTCTGAGGTTTGTTTATTAATTGTCCAGAATTCAGTCATGTTAAAACCGGCTCTATACAGCATGCAAGAAATATTTTTCCAACCTCCAATGACATGGATTTATTGCACAAAATGTTCATTTTTCAAAATGCAATTTTAGCCGGCTTTTTCTGCTCCTTATCTCTGCGATACATCTTCTGTCGGATGTTATCCATGCTACTAGATACTGAAATTGTCTTGTCTTGAACTAACGCCTTGGAATTTTTCTAATACAAATTGGGCAGTTATTTTCTTGGATATCCCCCTTATTTCTGTCTTCCCATTATTCAGACTGAAGCCGATTTTATCACTTTCTACCACCAGGTATCTATCAACCCTTGTAGTTCTGTCTAACTTGTCGCTATCAAGATGGTGTCATCAGCATAAAGTAGGTTGTTTATATTATGACCAACAACAACAATACCTTGCAAATTGATGTTATCTCTTGTGTGTGTCGAGTCTGTATTTAACTTAGAATAGATATATTGTTAGATAATCCACTGTAGAAGGGTTAAAAGTACATGAGAACAACCATGTTAACCCAAGACTTTGTCTGTATAGACCAGAACACAGGGTTGAAGGGAGAACCACTGTGAGTGGAATTAAGCCCGGTCATAACCGACGAGCTACTCGTGGGTCTAGGTGGCAAAAAGTTTGGTCATGTGAAATGAACTCGGCAGGTCTCAAGGAGAGTTGAGTTCCGTGGGTAGCTGTCATACTGTGTGGACGCGTTGTGTCCCTCATTTGTTTTGTGGCTCAAAGGTGTATACTATGGAGACTAGTCTTTGTAAAGCTGTTTATTATTTCACAGCGAGGTCGAGTATGAATAATTCAGGCAGTGTCCATTTCTACTGTTAGCCCGAATGTAATCGGCTAGTGAGCTCGTTTGCAGGTACTTGAGGGGGTGTGTCAGCTTGTGGGCCTTTGGACTTCAGTGTTATTTGTCTGCGTCCCCAGAGCGCCACCTGCTATTAATTCTAAGGAAGTGTCAGCTAGTGTTATTACGTAAGTTTTTGTGTGCCATTCTATTATGGTAGTGACACGTGCATTTTTGCATCCTTATTTGTGCGTGCTGGTAGACACGAAAAGTTTGTCAAATAACATGTATTGAGATGGTTTGTAGTATGCTGTGTCACTCCTGGGTTGGCTATGCTGTAGCCTCGTGTTCTTGAACTGTGATTATAATCACTACATACTTGACTTAAGGGAGCTGTCAGGGTAGGCCTAAGATGCCACATAATTGACTCCAGCCTGAAGTCGGTCCCAGCAGCCTCCCAACAATATTTGATTATACAATAATTACATCTCTCCAATAAAATAACACAAGCAAGTTAAACAAGCAACTCTTCAATACTGCTTACCTTCAATCTTTGTTCAGGCAGTGTTTCAAGTCCAAACTCTAAGCGAGCATCCAGCGCAGTAGACAGGTTATGACTGATGCTAGAGACAGTTGTGGTGCTCAAATGTTCCATCAGCTTATTCTTCAGGTTCAACAGGTGCTTGAAGCTTCCAGCCTGAAAACTGTTATCAAAATTAAGAACAGGATTAGATCTCACAATGTAATCACTTAATCTTCAATGTCAGGAACAAACATGTAAATTGTATTCCTCCCTCCTTCTCACCTTCACTCCCAAAATATCTTTTAATGAATTCCTCACTTTTATACTCCCTTAGGAAATTATTACTTCCATGGAAAATTGTATTTGACAAAGAAGATCACAGACACAAGTTGATATCAGTATTTTACGATGGAGTGAAGTCCAAAAAGCAAAGTAAAGGAAATGACTCGCTTCAACTGGTTGGGGCATCTGGCAAATGGTGACAGATGAATTGTTTTAAATTAAAGACCGATCATCACTTGATGGATACAACAGTCAACATCACATTATATTGGCCACTCACTTCCCAGGACATTCCATTACTATTTCAAGCTCAGAGCACCTGGCGTCCTGAAAACTTTTATTTTTTAATAACGCCTTTAGGCATATCCAGACCAAACATGAAATAAATAAATAACATTTCATCCGTTGCGTTACTACACATAAGACATAAGCTGAGTACACACAGTGCTTTACCTGGGACAGAAAGAGTTAGGCAACAATTGTTTTAACAAACCTGAATGTACAAAGGGAGAGTGGAAGGGAGACTAACCTTGGATGAGATATCTTTGGAGCATCAACAGAAGTTCCTGAGCCTGAAGCCACTGATGGAATTGGTAAATCATACATCTGAAAGCTGTCATCTAGTGCCTTTCCAAAGGAGATGGACAAATCAGGATAGCCAACGACTTCCATAAAGAAATCAGGCAGGTTGGGCGGCGTTGATGGAGGACTTGAGGAGCCTCCATTTTTGTTCTGGTGCTTGACAACTACCTCCAGAAACTTTTTCCTCCTGAATTTATCATCATCACTGATGAATAAGCCAACCAGTGCCTCTGGATCCTCTTTTTTGTCAAGACACAAACCTCCCTCCATCAAATCTGCAACACAGCACCAGACCATTGATTACTTCATGTCAATGATTTTAACTCATAAAGACAACAGAAAGTGTTCTCTTGCTCGCAGACTATCTCAGGTTGTTCATCTTCACTTTAGGACACATCTTTTTTCTTCTTCTTTTTTTTAAATAAAGAAAACACAAAATAGAGGACCCTTTTTGCTGTTGCTGACTCATGAGGTATAATATGCTAGACATATTTTTAAAGGCTAACTGGTGTCCCGCCCGTGTGTCACCGGGGCCCTCACATGAAGCAAAGAATAGAGACCAGGCATGTCGTAAGAGGCGACTAAGGGTAGGGTTGGGCTTGAGGTTGGCTACCTCATCCTGTAAAAACCATAGCCACAAAAACCAACCAACCATGGATAAGTCAAAAGCAGAGGCAAATAAAATCCAGCCAACCAAGATGAGGGTAGGCTCTTCAAATAGAAGTATGACACGGTGTGGAGAAAGCCGTAAGGAGTCGGGATCGTTGACTTACCTCCTCTCAGCTAGATAAACCTCCAGAATTGGCACCTGGAATGTTAGAACTCTCTATGATATAGGGAGAACAATGGAAGAAGCAAAGGAAATGAAACATTATAGAATTAGTATTATGGGGTTATGTGAAACTATATGGACTGGGACAGGGAAAAGTATTCTTAATTCAGGAGAAACTATTTTGTTCTCAGGACACACAGAGGAAAATTCGCCGCACAGTGAAGGAGTGGCCCTGATGCTATCAAAAGTCCCAGAATAATAAGAGCATCTTTTAAAACAGTAAAACAGAAGGTGAACATGTCAGTAATACAGTGTTATGCACCAACAAATGATAAAGATGCATCTGTTAAGGAAGAATTTTACATGCAGCTTCAAAATATTATAAATAATGAAAGAAAGGGCAACTTAAACATTTTGATGGGTGACTTGAATGCTAAGATAGGATCAGACAACACAGGTTATGAAGAAATTATGGGGAGACATGGTCTAGGAGTAATGAATGAAAATTGAGAATTGTTCACAAAAATTTGTGCAGGTAACCAGTATGTTATTGGTGGAAGTATTTTTCCCCATAAAAGAATACACAAGGCAACATGGGAATCACCAGACCATAAGACAACTAATCAAATTGACCACATATATATTAACAAAAAGTTTAGATCATCCCTTTACGATGTTAGGGCTTTCAGAGGTGCCGATGTATTTACTGACCATTTCCTGGTGATAATTAAAATGAAGTTGAAACTAAAAAGATATATAACATCTTATAATCATAGAAACCAATATAATGTAGGCTTTCTCAGAGATAAATAAATTAAGGAACGGTTCTCAGTTACGGTCTCTAATAAGTACCAGGTGTTGCAGCAGTTAGCTGAAGATGTCAACACAGAAGTCTGCTGGGATCAGATCAAAGGAATCTGGAATGAATCTTGCGTAGAAGTTCTTGGCAAGAAAGAAAGGAAACATAAAGCATGGATAACATCAGAAACCATTAAACTGATTGAAGATAGGAAAAGTAAAAAGGCAGAATTAAACAATAGCAAAACTAGAGCTGCTAAAGCTAGAGCTCAGGAGAATTACACAGAAGCCAACAAGGAAGTTAGGAGGCATATAAGGGCAGATAAAGTGAAATATCTAAATGATCTAGCACAAGAAGCGGGGACAGCAGCAGCAAAAAGAAACCTCAGAGAACTTTACAGTAACACAAGAAAATTAGTAGGTAAATATAGTCAGCCAACTGGATCAATCAAAAATAGTCAAGGAAAGGTACTTACTAAAACTAAAGATCAAATGGACAGATGGGTTGAATATTTTGAAATGCTTCTAAATAGACCAGGCCCAGAGGTTCCCCCAGATATCCAGCCTTTAGAAATGGAACTGGATTTCAACTGTGAGATACCATCCAAAGAGGAAATTAGAAAAGCTATAAATCTTCTTAAGGAAGGAAAGGCGTCAGGCCCAGATGGTATCCCAGCTGAAGCCATCAGGACCAACATAAACACATCAACAGAATTGCTACATAGATTATTCAGTAAAGTCTGGGAGACCGAAGAAATACCAGCAGACTGGAGAGAAGGATATCTTGTGAAACTGACCAAAAAAGGTGATCTACAGGAGTGTGAAAACTATAGAGGAATTATGTTGCTGTCAGTTCCTGGAAAAATATTAAGTAGAATTATTTTGGAAAGATTAAAAGATGCTATTGATAAAATGTTAAGAGATGAGCAGGCAGGTTTTCGGTCAAACAGATCCTGTACTGATCAGATAGCCACATTACATATTATAATAGAGCAAAGCATTGAACTGAACTCACCACTTCACATTGGATTTATAGACTATGAAAAAGCATTTGACAGCATTGATAGGGAATCTCTCTGGAAATTGATGGGGCACTATGGAATCCCACAGAAAATTATCAACTTAGTAAAGGCAACATATAAAGACATGAAATGTCGAGTTCTTCATGAGGGAAAGCTAACAGATGCATTTGAAATAAAAACAGTTGTGCGACAGGGATGTCTTTTGTCGCCTCTCTTATTTTTACTGGCTATAGACTGGACTATGAAAACAGTAACTGCTAACACCAAGAATGGAATTCAGTGGACCCCTACAAAACAGCTTGATGATCTGGACTTCGCTGATGATATTGCCCTTCTGTCCCATTCACGGAATCAGATACAAGATAAATTAAATATACTTGATGCGAGATCACAGCAGCTTGGTCTGAAAATCCATAAAGGAAAGACAAAGATAGTGAGAATAAATCAGGCAAATAGTAATGTGGTTTCTCTTAATGGCACCCCACTCCAAGACGTGGAATCGTACACCTATTTAGTCAGTAATGTAGATAAAGATGGAGGAACTGATAGAGATATTAAAATAAGAATACAAAAGGCAAGAGGGGCTTTCATAACACTAGGGAATTTGTGGAGGTCAAAAGAAATTAAAAGAAATACTAAACTAAAAAAATTTTTAATTCTAATGTCAAATCAGTACTATTGTATGGGGCGGAAACATGGAGAACAACCAAGGCAATTACTAATAAATTACAGACATTCATTAACTGGTGCCTGCGCAGAATAGAGGGAATAAAATGGTATGATAGAATAACTAATGTAGAACTTTGGGAGAGAACTAAACAGGCTCCAGTGGATCAGGAGGTGAGGAAAAGACGCTGGCGTTGGATAGGGCACACACTGAGAAAACAGGAGAACAGCATAACTAGAATGTCTTTACATTGGAACCCACAGGGGCATAGGAATAAAGAAAGGCCAAAAAACACATGGAGAAGAGAGCTGGAGAATGAGGTTAGAAAGATTGGGAGGACATGGGGAGAGCTCCATGTAATGGCGAAGGATAGAACGACTTGGCGTGAGTTGGTTGAGGGCCTATGCTCCATTGGGGGATAGAAAGGCAGAAGAAGAAGAACTGGTGTCCGATCTGGGATGTAGTCAACTTTATGCAGACTGCCATTACTTCCTCTGACATTTCCTTGACATTTTTAGGCCGTGTCAATCTAGGAGCCAGGGCCAAGTTTAATCTGGTGCAGATTTGAACAAAAGAGCTTTGCGCTGGCAGACAAGCATCTATCTACTATGCTGCTGTGATACTTCGGCTCTTTTGACAGATATGGCAATGTTTTTTTTTTTGGGGGGTAGCATTTTCAAAATGGAGGTTGGCTGTAGCAGGTATGTGCATCCATTATTGTCTCTGAGTAAATTTTGGATTGAAAAACTGTAACAGAAACTTAAAACAAAGGTCTGAGAATCTGAGCAGCATAAAAATAGAAATAGAGTAATTATACAAAATGTCCACTAAAATGCAAAAGTAAATTGGGCAAGTCTGAAGTGGTAGGCTAACTAAGTATTTAAGTACCTTGATAATTGAAGATGGGGGTGTAAATGAGAATCATCATCATCATCATGTGCCATACAAAAAAATGTAGGCTGTCATGTTTTGCCACCCTACACAATCACCAGAATCACAGATCAGGTCAGTGTTCTTGCCTCACACCATACGCATGGTGAAGCCATTTAGGTATTTATCTCTTTGCCTTCCACTTGCTCTTCTATCATTACGGTCTGAGGAGAAAAGCACTGTGAGGAGTTACCAGGGGATCTGGCTGACGCTTAACACTCAGGGGAAGGATGAGACACAGATCTACAATCAGACGGTTACTGGTGCCATCAGAATTGGAACTCTTTGATTGCTGCTGAAGATGGGAACAGAGCACTTATGAGAGTGTCCTGAGTGATATGATGTCGATTTGTAATTCAACATTCAATTCAACACTTGCTCTTCTTCCATGAATCTTGCCTTCTGTTACCATGTTTTCAAGTCCATTCTTTTTTATATGTCCCATAAACAAGGATAAGTTCTCTAATCAGTTTATGACTTGCATCTGTCTCAAGAAGGACTGCCTCTTCTTTTTTTTTTAAATCTTACCAAGATATTCTTTGAATTCTTTTTAAAAATCATATCTCTGCTGCAAGTAAATATTTTTCAGCTTGTCCACTTATTATCCAGGTCTCACATGCTTATAAACAACATAGGTTACATATGGAACTTTATTTTTCTTACTGCAACTAACAACACTGTCTCATCTGCCTATTTTATTTTGTTAATCTCAGTTATCCTCCACCCCCACCCCAAACCCCACATTGACTCCTTTCATGTTTTTTAGAAGTTTCAGAATATTCTCACCTTTAATGTGAACAGCTCAAGCAAAATCAGCATTTCACAGGATTTAAAAAAAAAAAAGACATGCAATACAGCTCCGTCAAGTAAGGTGAACAAAAGAGTTTGTAAGAGCTATACAAGCGGTGTCCAATAAAAAACAAGCCACAGTTAAATTTTTTTTTAATGTCTGCGAATTCGATGTAACTTGGCAGCTTGATAGAGTTGCCTGTCATGCACATACGTGAGCAATCATGACATCCCTGTACCAGTCAGTGTGACCATGAAAGTCATTTAGTGAGCAGATATAATATATGGTCATCCTGAGCATTAAATATTGTTGAGTGAGCATGTGCGCTATATGGTCATCGCGGTCAAAACGGTTAACAAGTAGAGCAAAGAATTTGCATTAAATTTTGCATTAGGCTTCAACATTCTTCCATAGAAACTGAATGATTCATAAAGTTTTTGGGATCAATGCATAGAGGGAGCATCATAAATAATAATATGGCACTGTGGCAATTAGTGCTTCAAAGATGGCTGAGAATCCGTCAAATATGGTCCCATTTCTGGTAGGTTTTCAAAAAAAAAAATCAGCACTGAAAAATGTTGAAAATGTACGAGCTGCAATTAACAAAGACCTGTAAATGAGTGTGAAAAAACAAAGGGTGATCTGGACTAAAACTCTTGCATCCAAAATTCTGACCCAGGATCTGAGTATGAAATGTGTCCTAGCAAAATCTGTTCCGCCTATTCTGCTACCAGAACAGAAGCAACTTCATGTCACAGTTGACTGATGATTTGCTACAAATCACTAACATTGAAACAGATTTCCTCAAGAATGTCATAACCAGAGATGTCAGTGGTGTATGATCCAGAAATGAAGGTCCAGTTGTTTTAGTGAAAGTCGCCTGGTTCTCCATATAAGAAAAAGGCACAGAAAATCCACAGCAAGATCAAGATCATGTTAACTGCGCTGTCTGATTAGGAAGAATTTCAGTGGAACCAAAATCAAACAGGTAACTTAGCCATTCTACAGCCAAGATTTAGCAGCCTGCATCTTTTAGCCAATGTCAACAAACCCTGAAAAAGAGGGGGGGGGGGGGGGGGGAAGACACGTGAAAGGCAAGAAAATGCAATGATACAACTGATGGAGCTTACAAAAAACACAAAGATTTCAAAGAGTGAAATGATGAATGGAAGGTATACTGGGAGTACTGTAGGAGCCTACTTTGTAGGGGACTGAGGCATCATTGTTTTATGTTTCTCATTTTATATTCCTTCCTAGACAGCTCTCACATGGGGGCTAACTGTGTCATCATATGACAATTTATAATGTACCAGGTTTTGAGAATCACTTGCGAACATTAAAAAATATATAAATGAAAGAAGAATATATACCTCTCTGAAGAAGCATCCGGTACTCTGGCCTGTTTGCCAAAATGGCCATGACCTGTTCAACTTGGACCACGCGAACTTTCTTACTGCCCCTGAGCTGTTCTGTGCTCAGCTGTGAACCCTCCCGCTTCAGGAAACTTGTATAGCTTGCAGATTCATCAATATCTGAGGCATCTGCTTCTGAGTCTACTGGGCTGGCAGGGCAGGCCTTCTCACCTGTTGTACAGTATTTACATTGACAGTTTGTGAAAATGCTACCCATCAAGGAAGACAAACAGGTACAGAAGTATTAGCAATTACTCTTTTTGGCTTTCTGCATGAGAATCAGCTGCAGTGATTAGGAACTAAAGAAATAACAATAACACTTTCTCACAATACAAATTTTTTTTTTTAATGTTCAACACTTTTTATAAAATAAGCTCTAATTTAAAGTGCATAAATTAATGTACTAGAAAGTAAAAATAATCTATCATAGTTTAACAGATGCCAGAGATTAAATAATTCTCTGTAAAAAATTAATCTGCAATTTTAAATCATGACTAGGTGCAACCTTAGTAATACCCTGTCTTTAATTTCCTGCTCAGCACTGAATATTGTCCAGAACCTCTGCTCAACCTTTATTAAATCAGTGTTTTGAGGAACTGATTAATGGACTAGACTTATATACTGAATGTCCTTAGAGAGGGAGGAGCAATAATTGCAAACTATGTGATAACTGAATTGATATTATTGACTGAATTGCAAGAACAAGTCAAAAGCGGGAAGCCAAGGAAGACTGGTAGAACAGTAGAAAACTGGTGTCTTCGGTTACGACACAGTGAAGGATGTAGTGAAGAGGGAGTACAACACAGTGAAGGATGTACTGAAGAGGGAGTATGACACAGTGAAGGATGTAGTGAAGAGCGAGTATGACGCAGTGAAGGATGTAGTGAAGAGGGAGTATGACACAGTGAAGGATGTAGTGAAGAGGAAGTATGACACAGTGAAGGATGTAGTGAAGAGCGAGTACGACACAGTGAAAGGATGTACTGAAGAGGGAGTATGACGCAGTGAAGGGTGTAGTGAAGAGAGAGTATGACACAGTGAAGGATGTAGTGAAGAGAGAGTATGACACAGTGAAGGATGTAGTGAAGAGGGAGTATGACACAGTGAAGGATGTAGTGAAGAGGAAGTATGACACAGTGAAGGATGTAGTGAAGAGAGAGTATGACACAGTGAAGGATGTAGTGAAGAGGAAGTATGACACAGTGAAGGATGTAGTGAAGAGAGAGTATGACACAGTGAAGGGTGTAGTGAAGAGAGAGTATGACGCAGTGAAGGATGTAGTGAAGAGAGAGTATGACACAGTGAAGGATGTAGTGAAGAGAGAGTATGACACAGTGAAGGATGTAGTGAAGAGAGAGTATGACACAGTGAAAGGATGTAGTGAAGAGAGAGAACGACACAGTGAAGGATGTAGTGAAGAGAGAGTATGACACAGTGAAGGATGTAGTGAAGAGGAAGTATGACACAGTGAAGGATGTAGTGAAGAGGAAGTATGACACAGTGAAGGGTGTAGTGAAGAGAGAGTATGACACAGTGAAGGGTGTAGTGAAGAGAGAGTATGACACAGTGAAGGGTGTAGTGAAGAGAGAGTATGACACAGTGAAGGGTGTAGTGAAGAGAGAGTATGACACAGTGAAGGATGTAGTGAAGAGAGAGTATGACACAGTGAAGGGTGTAGTGAAGAGAGAGTATGACACAGTGAAGGGTGTAGTGAAGAGAGAGTATGACACAGTGAAGGGTGTAGTGAAGAGAGGGAGTATGACACAGTGAAGGGTGTAGTGAAGAGAGAGTATGTAGTGAGGATGTAGTGAAGAGGAAGTATGACACAGTGAAGGATGTAGTGAAGAGGAAGTATGACACAGTGAAGGATGTAGTGACACAGTGAAGGATGTAGTGAAGAGAGAGTATGACACAGGAAGTGTAGTGAAGACACAGTGAAGGATGTAGTGAGAGTATGACACAGTGAAGGATGTAGTGACACAGTGAAGGGATGTAGTGAAGAGGGAGTATGACACAGTGAAGGATGTAGTGAAGAGGGAGAGTGAAGATGACACAGTGAAGTAGTGTAGTGAAGACACAGTGAAGGATGTAGTGAAGAGAGTATGACACAGTGAAGGATGTAGTGAAGAGAGAGTATGACACAGTGAAGGATGTAGTGAAGAGGGAGTATGACACAGTGAAGGATGTAGTGAAGAGGGAGTATGACACAGTGAAGGATGTAGTGAAGAGGGAGAACGACACAGTGAAGGATGTAGTGAAGAGGGAGTATGACACAGTGAAGGATGTAGTGAAGAGGAAGTATGACACAGTGAAGGATGTAGTGAAGAGAGAGTATGACACAGTGAAGGATGTAGTGAAGAGAGAGTATGACACAGTGAAGGATGTAGTGAAGAGGAAGTATGACACAGTGAAGGATGTAGTGAAGAGGAGTATGACACAGTGAAGGATGTAGTGAAGAGGGAGTATGACACAGTGAAGGTATGTAGTGAAGAGTAGAGTATGACACAGTGTAGTGAAGAGGATGTAGTGAAGGATGTAGTGAAGAGATGACACAGTATGACACAGTGAAGGATGTAGTGAAGAGAGAGTATGACACAGTGAAGGATGTAGTGAAGAGAGAGTATGACACAGTGAAGGATGTAGTGAAGAGAGAGTATGACACAGTGAAGGATGTAGTGAAGAGGGAGTATGACACAGTGAAGGATGTAGTGAAGAGAGAGTATGACACAGTGAAGGATGTAGTGAAGAGGAAGTATGACACAGTGAAGGATGTAGTGAAGAGAGAGTATGACACAGTGAAGGATGTAGTGAAGAGAGAGTATGACACAGTGAAGGATGTAGTGAAGAGAGAGTATGACACAGTGAAGGATGTAGTGAAGAGAGAGTATGACACAGTGAAGGATGTAGTGAAGAGAGAGTATGACACAGTGAAGGATGTAGTGAAGAGAGAGTATGACACAGTGAAGGATGTAGTGAAGAGAGAGTATGACACAGAAGGATGTAGTGAAGAGGAGTATGACACAGTGAAGGATGTAGTGAAGAGAGAGTATGACACAGTGAAGGATGTAGTGAAGAGAGAGTATGACACAGTGAAGGATGTAGTGAGAGTATGACACAGTGAGAGTATGACACAGTGAAGGATGTAGTGAAGAGAGAGTATGACACAGTGAAGGATGTAGTGAAGAGAGAGTATGACACAGTGAAAGGATGTAGTGAAGGAGAGAAGTATGACACAGTGAAGGATGTAGTGAAGAGAGAGTATGACACAGTGAAGGATGTAGTGAAGAGAGAGTATGACACAGTGAAGGATGTAGTGAAGAGAGAGTATGACACAGTGAAGGATGTAGTGAAGAGGAGTATGACACAGTGAAGGATGTAGTGAGAGAGAGAGTATGATGACACAGTGAAGGATGTAGTGAAAGAGAGAGAGTATGACACAGTGAAGGATGTAGTGAAGAGAGAGTATGACACAGTGAAGGATGTAGTGAAGAGGGAGTATGACACAGTGAAGGATGTAGTGAAGAGAGAGTATGACACAGTGAAGGATGTAGTGAAGAGTAGTGACACAGTGAAGATGTAGTGAGAGAGAGTGAAGGATGTAGTGAAGAGAGAGTATGACACAGTGAAGGATGTAGTGAAGAGAGAGTATGACACAGTGAAGGATGTAGTGAAGAGGAGAGTATGACACAGTGAAGGATGTAGTGAGAGAGTATGACACAGTGAAGGATGTAGTGAAGAGAGAGTGAAGTGAGGATGTAGTGAAGAGTACCACAGTGAAGGACACAGTGAAGGATGTAGTGAAGAGGGAGTATGACACAGTGAAGGATGTAGTGAAGAGAGAGTATGACACAGTGAAGGATGTAGTGAAAGAGGGAGTATGACACAGTGAAGGATGTAGTGAAGAGGAGTATGACACAGTGAAGGATGATGTAGTGAAGAGGAGTATGACACAGTGAAGGATGTAGTGAAGAGAGAGTATGACACAGTGAAGGAAGGATGTAGTGAAGAGAGGAGTATGAGTACACAGTGAAGGATGTAGTGAAGAGAGAGTATGACACAGTGAAGGATGTAGTGAAGAGGGAGTATGACACAGTGAAGGATGTAGTGAAGAGGGAGTATGACACAGTGAAGGATGTGAGAGGTATGACACAGTGAAGGATGTAGTGAAGAGAGAGTATGACACAGTGAAGGATGTAGTGAAGAGGGAGTATGACACAGTGAAGGATGTAGTGAAGTAGACACAGAAGGATGTATGAAGAGAGGAGTATGACACAAGGATGTAGGAGTATGACACAGTGAAGGATGTATGTAGTGAAGACACAGTGAAGGATGTAGTGAAGATGAGTATGACAGTGAAGGATGTAGTAGTGAAGAAGGATGTAGTGAAGAGAGTATGACACAGTGAAGGATGTAGTGAAGAGGAGAGTATGACACAGTGAAGGATGTAGTGAAGAGAGAGAGTATGACACAGTGAAGGATGTAGTGAAGAGAGAGTATGACACAGTGAAGGATGTAGTGAAGAGAGAGTATGACACAGTGAAGGATGTAGTGAAGAGGGAGTATGACACAGTGAAGGATGTAGTGAAGAGGGAGAGTATGACACAGTGAAGGATGTAGTGAAGAGTGTATGACACAGTGAAGGATGTAGTGAAGATGGAGTATGACACAGTGAAGGATGTAGTGAAGGAGAGTATGACACAGTGAAGGATGTAGTGAAGAGAGGAGTATGACACAGTGAAGGATGTAGTGAAGAGAAGTATGACACAGTGAAGTGTAGTAGTGAAGAGGGAGTATGACACAGTGAAGGATGTAGTGAAGAGGGAGTATGACACAGTGAAGGATGTAGTGAAGAGGGAGTATGACACAGTGAAGGATGTAGTGAAGAGGGAGTATGACACAGTGAAGGATGTAGTGAAGTGGAGTATGACACAGTGAAGGATGTAGTGAAGAGGGAATATGACACAGTGAAGATGTAGTGAAGAGGGAGTATGACACAGTGAAGGATGTAGTGAAGAGGGAGTATGACACAGTGAAGGATGTAGTGAAGAGAGGAGTATGACACAGTGAAGGATGTAGTGAAGAGGGAGTATGACACAGTGAAGGATGTAGTGAAGAGGACACAGTGAAGGAGTATGACACAGTGAAGGATGTAGTGAAGAGGAGTAGTACAGTGAACACAGTGAAGGATGTGTGAAGTGTATGACACAGTGAAAGGATGTAGTGAAGAGGAAGTATGACACAGTGAAGGATGTAGTGAAGAGAGAGTATGACACAGTGAAGGATGTAGTGAAGAGGGAGTACGACACAGTGAAGGGTGTAGTGAAGAGAGAGTACGACACAGTGAAGGGTGTAGTGAAGAGAGAGTATGACACAGTGAAGGATGTAGTGAAGAGAGAGTATGACACAGTGAAGGATGTAGTGAAGAGAGAGTATGACACAGTGAAGGATGTAGTGAAGAGAGAGTATGACACAGTGAAGGGTGTAGTGAAGAGAGAGTATGACACAGTGAAGGGTGTAGTGAAGAGAGAGTATGACACAGTGAAGGATGTAGTGAAGAGAGAGTATGACACAGTGAAGGATGTAGTGAAGAGGGAGTATGACACAGTGAAGGATGTAGTGAAGAGGGAGTATGACACAGTGAAGGATGTAGTGAAGAGGGAGTATGACACAGTGAAGGATGTAGTGAAGAGGGAGTATGACACAGTGAAGGATGTAGTGAAGAGGGAGTATGACACAGTGAAGGATGTAGTGAAGAGGGAGTATGACACAGTGAAGGATGTAGTGAAGAGGGAGTATGACACAGTGAAGGATGTAGTGAAGAGGGAGTAGACACAGTGAAGGAGTAGGAAGTATGACACAGTGAAGGATGTAGTGAAGAGGAAGTATGACACAGTGAAGGATGTAGTGAAGAGGAAGTATGACACAGTGAAGGATGTAGTGAAGAGGGAGTATGACACAGTGAAGGATGTAGTGAAGAGGGAGTATGACACAGTGAAGGATGTAGTGAAGAGGGAGTATGACACAGTGAAGGATGTAGTGAAGAGGGAGAACGACACAGTGAAGGATGTAGTGAAGAGGGAGAACGACACAGTGAAGGATGTAGTGAAGAGGGAGAACGACACAGTGAAGGATGTAGTGAAGAGGGAGAACGACACAGTGAAGGATGTAGTGAAGAGGGAGAACGACACAGTGAAGGATGTAGTGAAGAGGGAGAACGACACAGTGAAGGATGTAGTGAAGAGGGAGAACGACACAGTGAAGGATGTAGTGAAGAGGGAGATCGACACAGTGAAGGATGTAGTGAAGAAGGAGTAAGACACAGTGAAGGATGTAGTGAAGAGGGAGTATAACACAGTGAAGGATGTAGTGAAGAGAGAGTATGACACAGTGAAGGATGTAGTGAAGAGAGAGTATGACACAGTGAAGGATGTAGTGCGGAGGCAGTATGACACAGTGAAGGATGTAGTGAAGAGAGAGTATGACACAGTGAAGGATGTAGTGAAGAGGGAGTACGACACAGTGAAAGGATGTACTGAAGAGGGAGTATGACGCAGTGAAGGATGTAGTGAAGAGCGAGTACGACACAGTGAAAGGATGTACTGAAGAGGGAGTATGACGCAGTGAAGGATGTAGTGAAGAGAGAGTATGACACGGTGAAGGATGTAGTGAAGAGGGAGTACGACACAGTGAAGGATGTAGTGAAGAGGGAGAACGACACAGTGAAGGATGTAGTGAAGAGGGAGAACGACACAGTGAAGGATGTAGTGAAGAGGGAGTATGACACAGTGAAGGATGTAGTGAAGAGGGAGTATAACACAGTGAAGGATGTAGTGAAGAGGGATTATGACACAGTGGAGGATGTAGTGAAGAGGGAATATGACACAGTGGAGGATGTAGTGAAGAGGGAATACGACACAGTGAAGGATGTAGTGAAGAGGGAATACGACACAGTGAAGGATGTAGTGAAGAGGGAGTATGACACAGTGAAGGATGTAGTGAAGAGGGAGTATGACACAGTGAAGGATGTAGTGAAGAGGGAGTATGACACAGTGAAGGATGTAGTGAAGAGGGAGTATGACACAGTGAAGGATGTAGTGAAGAGGGAGTATGACACAGTGAAGGATGTAGTGAAGAGGGAGTATGACACAGTGAAGGATGTAGTGAAGAGGGAGTATGACACAGTGAAGGATGTAGTGAAGAGGGAGTATGACACAGTGAAGGATGTAGTGAAGAGGGAGTATGACACAGTGAAGGATGTAGTGAAGAGGGAGTATGACACAGTGAAGGATGTAGTGAAGAGAGAGTATGACACAGTGAAGGATGTAGTGAAGAGAGAGTATGACACAGTGAGGATGTAGTGAAGAGAGAGTATGACACAGTGAAGGATGTAGTGAAGAGGGAGTATGACACAGTGAAGGATGAAGTGAAGAGAGAGTACGACACAGTGAAGGATGTAGTGAAGAGGAAACCTGAGCACTTATGAACTGAATGCTTACATGTGCAATAAACATGATCTGCTGACCAACTTTTCTTAAAGCACACATGACTGATATAACAAATATTCATAAAACAGACACATAGATATAACTAAATAAGGATTACATGTTGAGAACCCCCTATCCCACGCAAGATATAAATCCCAACTTCCACTGACCTTCTAAAATATCCTGCAGCAGACAAGTGATAGCATGTGCAGCCCATGGCCCACCCCATGTCAAGCTGTCATGGTTGAACTCCGTGTCCACAACTAGAAGTATCAGCTGCTCCAGCTGTTCCTGGCTCATTGCTTCTGCTAATGTTATGGGAGGTCTGCAGGCTACACAGATTTTGGCCAGTACCTGAAAGATAAGTCAGCAAATGCACACACAATTCTTACTTTCATAAATAATTCCTGGCAATTTTTATACTGCTGTGTTTATCAGCTCATTCTTCTTACAGTACACATTATGGCACTGACAGACTATTTCCACAACCTACAGTCTCATGTACTTTCAATCATTTCTGACTCTTGGGCCTCTGTGCCATAATGGCAAACTTTCCTCTTTTTGTCTCACTCTCCCTCTCTCTCTTCCCCTCCAAATTTCCTCCTGACATCCTCCAGTTTCCCCTTCTCATGATATGACCAAAGAAAATCGATTATCAGCTCATTAAAAGATATTTCCATAGGGGTTGTCGTGAGTCCCCTAGTGGATAGATGCTTTTGTGATGAGTAGGAGTTATATGTAGTCAAGAGTGAGCTGTGTTTGGAATGTCAGGTGTCCAAATACCTTAAAATGTTCAGATACCTTACATGTATCCAAGAACGAGCTGTGTTTGTAATATTAAATGTCCACAAATCATATGTAGCCAAGAATAAACTGTGTTTGGAATGTTAACTGTCAACATACCTTATATGTAGCCAAGAATGAACTGTGTTTGGAATGTTAACTGTCAACATACCTTATATGTAGCCAAGAATAAACTGTGTTTGGAATGTTAACTGTCAACATACCTTATATGTAGCCAAGAATAAACTGTGTTTGGAATGTTAACTGTCAACATACCTTATATGTAGCCAAGAATGAACTGTGTTTGGAATGTTAATTGTCCACATACCTAAGATGTATCCAAGAATAAGCTATGTTTGGAATGTCAAGTTTCTACATACCTTATATGTAGCCAACAATAAGTTGTGTATGTAATGCCAAATGTCCACATACCTTACATGTAAACAAGAATGAACTGTGTTTGGAATGTTAATTGTCTACATACCTCACATGTAGCCAAGAAAAAACTGTGTATGGAATACCAAATGTTCACATACCTTACATGCAACCAAGAATAAGTCCACATGGCATGTGAAGTCCATACTGAGGAGCAAAGACATCAATCCCCTAACCACAGCCAGACATGTCTCTCTAGACAGCAAAATATGCTGGTCTGTATCCATGTCGTCATCTCTGCCAAAAGAGTCACTGGAACTTCTAGACTGATCTGCCATTCCCTTGAGGAATAACTGCAGAATAAACAAATTGTGGCAACTGGTTCAGATAAACACTGGTGATAAACACACATGTAACAACAAAACTCACCATCAGCAATTTTCTATATAATGCTTACTGAGACAACAAAACTGGCAACTTATCATTCTTCTAAAGAGTTTTCAAAAGTGAAAGGATCAATTTAATTGTACGTATTTTAATCCATACTTTTTGTTCTCCCTCTGTAGAGTGACTGGTCTCCCATCAAGATCATCACACAAAACATCAAACAGCTCCAGCAATGACTCCCAAAGATCTCCTAAACACCTTAACACATGCAATTCTGGTGGGAGACTTACTGTTGGTGCATCTGTTGGCTGCCTTATGCATTTGCTTTGCATGTGCAAGCTTCACAATTTTGCTGATGTTTTTTTTAAACTAGTTTTTTTTTTTAAATAGGACAGTAAAGAACATTTTGTGTAATTTCAACTAAGACAAGAATAGAGCAGTTATGGGGAAATCAGACTGCAGCAAAGCTGGAATCTTGAATAACAATCAAGAAACTCATGAGACGAATGACAGAACCTGAAACTGGACATATGACCTTCAGAGTGAGAGATAAACAGTTTAAGCACTTTACAACAGAGACTTCCGGGCAGCAAGAGAATTCTTCTGCCTTTCATCCAAAATGGAAGCACAGGACCTTGACTAATTCATGACATTTATTGCAAAAGTAAAATTAAAAATAACAGTGACTGCAGATGAGCTGATATCAAAATATAACTGAACATACAACACAATGACTAAAAACCTCAACGTTTAACTGCAATGCAAAAAATTTAACATGGCAGGAGAAAATAGTAGGATGTTGCAGATTTATTTGTAAGCATCTTATAGATATTCACAAGGCAGCTCTTAAAATGACTCTAAATCTTGCTCCATGGACCAAACCACTCTTTTCTCATTGAAATATCTCCTCATAAATAGTTTTAGCATTCTCAATAAATGTTCAGCATACCTTTATCTGATTTATTTTTCATGTTCTTAATTCTTCTTTATTCTTTTTATTTATATTTTCACTCTGACATATTCCTTCTTTATGTTTTGTTTTGTGACAGCTCTTTCTGTCCCTATTTTTCTAATTACCTTTTCTATGAGACCTTCATGGTCTTTTATTATTCTGTTGTTTTGTCCCCTGATAAAGACTCTGGTCGAAAAGTCTGGTTGTTTTGTACATATCTTGTCTTTCCCATTTTTCAGCATCCTAGTTAAATTTTTTTTTTTAACATGAGGGGAAGTCAATAAGTAAGTCACAAATGGTTGTTTAAAAAAAAAAAAAAACTCATGATGATGGCAACTTGAAAACCGTCTATTTTTACTGTTTAATTTCCACCAACATTATGCACTAGTCCCATTGTTTTATCAGTCCTCCCAAACCTGCTGCACAGAATGGCATGCTCTGTTTTCTAAACCACATTTTTGTCAGTCAATTGTCTAGTACCCACACTGAGTTAACTTTCTTAAATTCCAATCAATCACAAATTATGCTGTATGCTGAACCACGTGAGTACCCTACTACAGCTGCTACAGAGTCAACCGTTTCTCATCTGCCACCTCTAATCATCTTCTCCATCCCTTGCACGGATGCGTCTGTTGCAATCTCAACAGGACGACCAGATCAGACTTTATCAACGTTCTTATAGCCTCAACCAAAAAAATGTATTGTTGACTCAGCTATACATCGCTGTATGGGATAAACATCTGTCAGCATAAACAGGAAGCATTTCCTTATCAATGTCCTTTGCAGGCAGCCATTTTGAACAGACAAAATCCACAACAGCATCTTGTTCTTTGAGGGTACATTCCATAAGTACAGTCGTCATTCTGATTCTGCGTTGCGAATGCACATGCAATACCTAGCACAACCTAACGAACGAAGACATAAAGTTTGACGTTGCTGTCACCTAATGACACCTTTAGAAACCACCAACTGCATTTTCCTGCCATCCCATAACTATTTGACACTTACTTTTTGACTTTCCCTCGTAGTTACTTTTTTTCCAGAGAAGGCAGTTCTAAAAACTAAGTAACTATAGCTGAATACACTCACTCACCTTTCCTGCCGTCTGAGTTTTCTTATCTATGCTCCCATAGATTTTCTTGAATCTGTCAATGTCGTGTGTTTTCTGTTTGTAGTGGATCAGTTTCCTCATGAAGCCACCACGCCTGGTCAGGCGATGAGATTTCCCTCGAAATCCAGCTGATGGAGATTGGGACCACTGGCTCTCTATAAAACTCCATCTGTTGTTAATGGAGCAGGCTGTAAAATATTTTAAAGAAAAGGTTGGTGAGTGTCTGTGGAAAAAGGTCAGTAATTTATCGTTTTTTGTAAAGGATCTCTTTTGTTGTTCACTGAGATACAATTACAAGTGCCTTAGTCTTCTTTCACAGTTCACATAAAAAATAGCAACAGTGTATGAGCACATGAAGTTTCAGAATTGTGAATACCAAATCAGATGTGTCATAAATAATCTTTCCATGGGCATGTTTCCTAATTTATAAAATGTAATCAATGCAGTGGCTTCTTCAGCATATACTTCTCAATATCTTGCTTTTTTAATATGTGCATACTAAAACTTCTGGGTTTTTTTACCATCCTCTGTGAAATAAGGACATCCAGCCCACAAAAGTTTAAATCCATTTTGCTGGGGGTTTTAACTTTTATCCACAGCAATAGCAGACAAGTGTGTTTAGCCACTGCTCAATCAACCACGGCTCCCAATTAGTATGCACCAGTGCTGCAAAAACTGTCAATGGTAAAGATAAGGGTAAATCAAATGCACAATGCCAATAAGAAAAAGTTTACATCTCTAAACCTCTTTGAAGTGGTGTAGGAGCTTGTGCTGCTCAATGTCTCTGACAGCTAAGCCAGCAGTAATAAAGCTATAGCAGGGACTCCCAAGTGGACAAGTCAAACGGTCAAAGGGTAGGGAACAGACAAAGACAGACACCCTGATCCTTCAGGCTGGAAAGGGGGCGGATGTGTGTGTGTGTGAAGCATGAGGTAAACATCCACACCTTTGGAGGATAAAAATATAATTTTCACCATAAAACAGATGGTCATCCTCCGAACAGCAGTTCCAAATTCAATACATGTAAAACGTGTGGAATGTTAGAAGGACTGACAGCTTCAAATCCAGTGGGCAAACTATTTGCACTGAGGTCATGAAAATATATTATTTTTGTTGAAAATATAACCATGGTTGCTGCAACCATGTCTCCTGGAATCGTTGAACGTGACACCTGTGGATGTTGGCTGGAAATTGTAGTGTGAATAAATGTGCTAACACTTGATCAAATTATAACAGATCATGTACTTCCAGGAAATGTCATTATTACTGATTCATGAGCTAGCTATGCTAATCTAAACCAAATCAATAGTGGAGTTTATCAATATGATAATGCCCAACATTTCATACATCCAATTCATCCAGACATCCAAGGGATATTAAGGGACTTTGGGTGCAGGCCAAGCATTACCAAAATGGAACAAGAGGTGGCCTATTTCCAAGCTACTTGTGTGCTTTTCAGTAGTGATTTTAGTCACACAGTAAACATTTTTTGGACAGTATCTGAAGCTGTTGAGTGACAATTATCCTTTGACAAGATACTTGGCAACACACTATTAAATTTCACTTTTAAAATATCACATCCATGTTTTATACATTTATCTTAATTTGGGGGCGCCAATTTTCAGACCACTGTTCCAATGATTGCCAAAATATTTCAGCGCAAAATTCAAACAATGAACCCAGAATGCTGAAGATTAAGAAATCTACAAGGAGCATATTTTAATTTTTTTTTAAAAACACACACACCTTCTTTGTCCTTTTTGATTCCCTTTTCAGCTTCTTCTGTATTGGCTGAAGCAGACAGAGTGGAACTTTCCATGTTTCGACACAAAAACAAGAGGATCCAGCTGATAAGTGACAGGTCTAGATGATCTTTATGAACAAAGATACAAACAATCACTGACACTCTAAAACTGTCACATTTTAAGTTTAAACATAAAAATAAGGGTGATCCCTTGGATAGTAGTACTGCTTGCAGCAGTGTGAGAAGATATGACTTCTCATTTCAATAAATTAGCTGATACTGACCATTTTCTTTCTCCTATTTTTGCCTGAGAAAAAAAATTATGCGCATTTTTTGTTTACCTCTGTGTTGATTCCGGAGCTGTATGACACAGCTGCTGGGGTACCAGTCAGGCAAGCTGGCAAACTGATCCAGTGTGAGTTGAACGATCCACTAGGCAATTACAACTGAAAATTGTATATACTTCTTAACAGACATGCCCATTCCCTCCCAACAATCACCTGCTCTTAACCCTTGATCAGCCCGCCCCACAGCCTAAAACCCAATTTTCTTGGCTTGCTGAGAACAATACACTGTGGACTTAAGAGAAATATTACTCCATATGGATGAATGAGTCAGTACTCAGTTATATAGAGGATAGCTCAACTGACAACCCTTTTCATGTACAGCATTCCTACTTTTAACATTTCTCGCAGCATGTAAAATACCAATTTCAGTGCAGATAAAGTTCACAAGATTACTGCTAAAAATCAGTACTGATTTGTCAACTGTGCCTGCAGGCCAAGTGTCAGCAACCTACAGCATGCAGGACAAGTGTGGAGCGTTAGAGTGATTTTCAATGAGATGCTGGGAGAATTACCTCTTTGAGTCCCAAGGAACGCATCACCTGCTAACTGGTTACACCCCAGCGGCCCGATCGGCACATGATAAGTGAAGGTTTTTAATTTACCACTGACCAGTATTCAAACACAATCTGCTCAATTTCAACTTGCTTTCCAGTTCTTTGTGTGTGATATCAGGTGTGCTGACCATCAGATTCATTTGGAAACATGCTTAAAAGCCTAAATATAGTCAATTTGCAAGGTTTACTGAGTTCCTAAGTGTTTGTTTGAAAATAATATGGCTACCGAGCAGTATTCTACATGCATGCCAACATGATTTACGGCTTTAGAAGCCTCAAATTTAAATAAAGAATGGGTCTCCCCGTGTGGGTTCCAGGGCCCTGTTATAGGGAAAACAAGAATAGACCCACTACCTACCCAACAAGCATGTCGTAAGAGTCTACTAATTGTGAGCTTCTTTCGAAGTCGGAGTGCATCTGCCTGAGAGGCAAAGAACCAACAGTCTGCACCCAAATGCATCAGACCTGTCGGAATGGATGCACATGCAGCACTCAGGTTCTTGAATAGGAGGACTGCAGTCCAGAAGTGGACTGCAGTCAAGAAGTGGACGAAAACCAGAACTTTCCACCAGTTTACAGCTGGTGAACGAAAAGAAGAAGAAGAAGAATAGCTCATGTGTTTATCAGATTTATCCAAAGTTAGATAGTTAACGTTGCAAAGTAGACTTCTTTCTGTCATTTATAGAGTTAAACTATGATGAGGGATATCTCTAAAGTGTACCTCACGCGAAGGGCACAACGACAGCAAAGTTAGCAGGCACTAATAGAAACAATATTGGTGAAAAGACAATTATCTGCAGCTTCAGTTCTAGTGCTATTCCCCTATTATTTAGGAACATAGCTACCAAATTACAGGCAAACAGTGTTTTATAAACTTTGTTCTATGTGAAGATACTCATTGTTTTGGGAAGTCAGTTCCCTTTATCAAATAATGGTGCTCTGTTATGATGCTTCATATATTTCTCTGGAACAAGATCTAATGCAAGACTGAGTTTATACTTTACTTATACGTTACTTAGTAGTTCATGTTTATTTGTGATTCATTTTAGATATATTTTAACGAGTTTTCCTTCAGCGCTATGGTGGTAAGTGGACAAATTATTATTTTTTCATTTTACTAATTTCTGTAACCTTACCTTCTGTTTATTTACTAATATTTAACTACTAATGCAAATATCTGTTGTAGTAGTATTCTATTATTATTATTCCCCTACAATCCCTGGTCACTTTGATGTATAATATGTGTAAGTTGCACAGCAGCTGAATTCGTATAGTATGTTTTAATGTGTTACACTTGTGAAATAAAAAATAAAAAGTGCATTACCACCTCATTGGCCTCTGACGCTAAACCCCCAGGGATTCAAAAAGTTAAAGTACAATTTTTGCTCTTTTAAAAATTCTGTTGAAGTTCAAATTTTTCTGTTTTGGTTACAACTGTATTTCAAAATACAGACACTGAAAGCATGCTGAGAATGGTGAAGACAGGGTTGCTTCAAGTAGAGTGGCAAGCTTCATTTGGAAGGTCACGGGTAGTGAGCATACTTTGGATTCACGGGTAGTGAGTATACATAGAATCTTCTCTCCAGGCCATGCCCGCGTGGTAGGGATTGAACAGGTAAACAGATTGACTGGATCTGCACCATTGGGTAAACTGATACAGGACCCAAGGACAAGGCCTTTTGGGAAAAAGTAATGAAGTCAGAAAAGAAACTGGATAATTATGGCCTGGAGAGAATAATGCACCTAGGTATGACCAAAGGGTCTGGCCGGTAAATTGCACTCAGAAGAAAAGTAAGATGGGCATATAACCAGACTACAACTGGTTCCAATAGTACTGGAACTTTGCACTGGCTGCTAAAGATGGGGATAGGGTGCATATGGGAATGCCCAGAGTGCTATGATGTCAATTCTTAATTCAACTCAATTCAATTCAACTCAATCACAATCCTCAGTCCTCCACAACACCTGAACAGTCATAAATGAAGAACAGGAAAGCCCAGAACCAAATTCCCAAATCACAAGGCAAACTGCTTCACCAATTCACTATGGAATAATTACCATGCCTGTTTCATGGTCTGATAAAACAACCAGGTAGATAAAACAACATTCTAAATACCACATGTAAAAAAACATGATACAATCTGTGTGCATTCACATCTAAAAAATCATACTTGTATGCAAAACAAAACAATTTACAAACAACAAACCTCATATACATTTCCTTCCAACAATATATACATATATATAAATAGAATTCCTCAATGCCTGATTAATTTCCTTTCACTGGTATGGATCTTGTCAGTTAAACAACTATTATATATCCTGTATTTCAGTTTCTGAGATGAAATTATGGTATACAAATTACACAACTTGCATTATTTACTCTTTTTTCAATGCATCAACTGGATCTTCTGTCATACTACCAAACACAGAAATTTATCTCCTGTCATTGTAAGAGAATTTTTACTAGAATTCAACACTTATCCTGCATTCCAATTTCTAAATCACATTACACAATGTACACAGAATGATCCCATGTTATTCAGTTAATCACATTTTCTTGTACATCACTGACTTTTGTGCCATGATACTAAACTGTCAACATCTGCAAACCTTACTTGTCACATGGTGTGATGTCCCGCGGGTGCCATCTGTCACCAACAAGGGCTGTAGAACTGAGGTCAGAATTGCCAACAGACTGTCCAAAATGTGCAGCGCACTTGGTCCAGTCAGAGATTTTTGACCCAATGCACTCAGCAGTATGAAAACTCTAAAAGAAACAAAAACAGAACAATTTAAAGACAAAGGGAAATCTTAAAACAGAAAATCAAGAAATGGAGAGCATCTGTTGTGTTGTATTTAACCATGATGTAAACAGGAGTGACTATGGTCAAGTTGATATCATGAAGTATTAAACACAACATGAAATATGACTGGAAAGATTACTGAAGGGAAAGGAAAAGATACATACAAATACAATCTAATGTTTCAACCAATCAACAAAATGAAAACTTATATAAACGGCTTTGGTCAAGATGGAACAATATATATGTAACAGGAAAAATAAGGACATGAAGAGCTATATTATGAAACTAGACAAATCAGACGGCACCTGAAGAAAAGAAGATAGAAACAGAAACAGGGTTACAAAAAAAAAAATATATAATACAATAAAAACAAGCTAAACACTGATCCCTGCAGGACTGAGAACACTGAAATTATGAAGGATTTTTCCAAGGTTAGGTGGCAGCTGGTTTGATCACAAGATTTTATGACAGTAACTAGAATGTCAATTTTGCCATGATTAAAATGGAAGGAGAATAGTTTAAGGACTGCACTGTTAATATCTATGAGACATTCACAGTAATAATTTGCTAATTTCCTACTGTTTTACCCAATGAATTTCTGCACTTTTTTGCAATGTTTCTGCAAATTTCATATCAGATGCTGTATTATTATTATTATATTATATTATTAATTAACTTTTTTTAATCACATGCCTTGCTGATTCACCAGGGCAATCATCGACTGCCTATCCTATAATTTCAAAAGCTTCCAATTTATATGCAGACATATTTCCATGCTGTGACAAAAGGCTGTCAAACATTTATGTCACTGTCTCCCTCTTTTTCTTCTTCAATAAATTTTTCCAGTTGTCACATGTTTTCCTTTCCCTTTTCTCATCAAGCATGCACTCAGAAGTGCCAACACACACAGCCTGACACTAGAAATGGAAGCATCAGTTACAACAAAACAGTAGTTGTACACCCAATTAATCATATAAGACAACAAATTTTCTGACAAAAGGCAACTCGGCATTATATGAATTTACAGTTCTGGAGACAAACCATGTTAGGCACAGTCCAAAAGTGCTCTAAATAAAATATGCTGTTCACAGGGTCATGCCATGCACTTAACTCAGTAGATATGCGACAGACCTATATCCTTTCAGTCTACACATGGAGGAAAATGCAACAGCTAACTACTGTCAGAAGCAAAAAACCTGCCACGACTAAGAACAGTAAACATGTCTTTCCATCATTCTGACGAAGTCCCACATATGTTGTGGGGCTAACCAGTTCCCTTTCTCATTATGTTTAGTTCCCAGAATATTCTGGAAATTATCTGGTACCCATTTTTTTTAAGAGACAGAGGCATCCCCCTAGTTGTACACAAACACCATAACCACATAAAGAATATATATAAAACCACTCAAACACACTTACCGATCCTGGGGGAATACTTGTGAGTACTGCGAATGGAAGAAGTCGTAGAGAATGTTTCCTAAAAACTGACCCCACCACGGCTGGGTTCCACACACCCTGACCAGCAGGAGGCCGGCCGACACCTGGATGCGCTGTGTCCCATGGAGGCAGAGATGTTGGAATAGGGTCTGAGAGTGGTTCTGGTTTAAAGCAGAGTACAGGGCAACAGGAGGTTGGAGAACAGGAGCGGCCCCTGTGGTGCAGGTTAGCAAGGTGTCCAAGAGATTTTCTAGTATCACACGCAGCTTGTCTGTTGAAGCCTAAATGGAAGACAACATCACACCAAATTAAATGCAAATCTTAGCATACCTGGTGATATTTGATGTGTCTATATAATAGTAGTTCTTCTTCTTTTGTTCGATTGAAATAGCCTATCTATATCTGCAAATGTTATCTCTAGTGTGAACTTCACTGTCTCTTGTATTTCTCTTTGTTTCTCTTGGCTATATATAGTGAGGTGAAGTGCAATATTCACTACATACAATAATTACTTTGTTTAGTCATTTATTGTCAACAATAATCTCACTGGTCCCTGTGTGGGTTCTGGCATCCCATTTTTAGGGAGGGAAATAAAAACAGATCTAATGCTGCTGTAAAAAGTATGTCATCAAAGGTGACTAGGAGCCAAAAGACACAGATGCAATAGCTTAGCTTAACCCACAATGTGCCAACCACCCTTTTTCACAAGATGAACAAGATATGATTGGTGGTGAATGTGTCTGACACACATCAACATCTGAAATGCCAGCTGAGACAGCTGCTAGAGACAATCAATGCTTCATCCTGATTCTTATTGTGTCCGCAGCTTATATTTATGGGAGTGGTAGTGGTGCAGTGGTTAGCACACTTGCCCGCCAGCCTATGTGGGTCATATGGTCAGATTTGCAGTCTTTTATTTTCAAACTGAACTAGATTTTAGGTTGGCACAGGCTACAAGAGGTATCAGTTAATTTCCTTGGAAGTAAAAGCGGCCGGCATGATGATAACATTTGGGCTGTTACCCATTGGTCTACAACACAAAAACACACATACTATATATTTCTGTCATACAATTCATTAAAGATAATGGATGAGATGGTTTGGCCATCTGACGAGAATGCCTCGAAACAGGCTGCCACAGACAGCTACACTGAAGAAACATAATAAACACAAAACACACAGAGAAGACCACGTACAATATGGAACAACAGCATCAAGAACAACAGCTTCAAAGAAATGAAGATCAATTCATACAACATATTAGAGAGAGCACATATAAAATCCTTGCATTCCCTCCTCCACTCTCCCAAATAATCGATGAGGTAACTGAAGAAGAAGAAAAAGAGGAAGAAGAAGAGGAAGGAGGAGGAGGAGCAGAAGAAAAAAAAAAAAAAGAAGAAGAAGAAGCAGACAAAGCAGAAGACAAAGAAGAAGATGATGAAGAAGGTGAAGAAGAAGAAGACAAAAAAGACAACGAAAAAGAAGACAAAGATGAAGAAGAAGAAAACAATAGAAGAAAAAGAAGAAGAGGAAGAGGAATATATATGTAATTCAGATCTAATAGGTTGACAAAGTTTTCACAAACCTGCCCCAAGAGTGTCCCAGCATCTGCAGAATCATGGATGGCATCAGCACCAATGCCCAGGGAAGTCTGAAGTCTACGTATTGCACGCTGGGCCAGATTCAACTGTAGCTGCAGCTGCAGACACTCGTTGTAGGCCTAAGGAAACACAATCAGTAATCCTAGTGTCAGCACTAAACACACGGACATGCTGAGTTGTCATTAAGCATCGTATCTTATAATAATTCATCTTCTATGCTACGGTGGCAAAGTGATTAGTATACTGGCCTGCTAAGACAGTGGTCTGGGTTCAATTCTTAGAAGTGGCAGATTCTAGATTCTTTCCCTCTGCCTTAACCAGTACACAAAAACTGCTCTGGGGTTGATCTAGCCTCACAAAAGTAGGTACCAGACCTTCTTCTGCGTGTTCACCGGCTGTAAACTCTGATGGAAAGTTCTGGTTGTTCATCCACTTCAGGTGGTTAGTCTTGTCCCAGGACTTGAGTTTTGCATGCACATCTGTTTTACACATCTGGCTTATTTGTATGCAGACTGTTGATTCCTCATCTCTAGGGCAGATGCACACAGACTTTGGATAAATTCCCCTCATTGGTTGACTTATACAGCATACTTCTTAGGAGGGCAATGGATCTATTCTTCCACCCCCCACCCCCCCCCCCCCCTCATAACTCAGGTCCCAGAATTCACATAGGGAGGTATCAGATAATTTCCAGAATCTTTCTAGGTACTGTCTGGATAGGAAAAGTAATGAGAACGGGTGACTGGCCACTTCACTTTATATTTCACAGCCTAGAATATATTGTGGTCTAACGCTTCGCAACACAGTAGCAGAATCGGCTATTGGACTTCCTATATTTTAATGAAAAGTTATCAGACACCTTAAACCTACAAGGTTCCAAATGTTCTGTGTTTTTTTTTAGCTGAATTATGCTTCATCCTTCAACTCTTATGTCTAAATGATGCTTTAATCATCTTCTTCTTAGCTTTCACGAGCTGTAAACTCCAGCAGAAAGTTCTGGTTCTTCATCCACTCCTGGACTTTGGTCTTTGACCCAGAACTTAATTGACTAAACAGATCTGGCTTACTTGTATGCAAATCACTGATTGATTCCTTGCCTCTCAGGAAGATGCACTCTAATTTCAAAAGTTACAGCCCAAATTAGTCGTATCCTGTGACATGCTCGTTAGGGAGGCAGTGGGTTTATTAACTGTTGTCCAAACTGGAGCCCCAGAACCCACGCGGGGGATGATGTCTTAAAAAATACTATAAATTCTGCTACGATAAATTCATAACTTATGACGTTTCTTCTTATTTCACAAACCACACACATTTTTTCAAATAAAAATCTTGAAAAAAAATATGAACACTTTCAGGGTCGCAGTGATTTTGGTGACATGTGTGAGGGAAAGTACAGGCTTCTGTCTATGGAGATACTCTGCACCTCACCTCTGACCCCAGCTGGCTCTGAGCTTCATGCAAGACTCTTTCTGTATGTCCTCACTGTGTGCTACAGATAATGGCCTGCATCAGCCTCTACCGAGCTAGCAGGATCTACATCTTGATGGCCCCTAGAGTTGCAGCCCAGAAATACTCTGGAACTTGTCAGCGCCTTTTTCAAAACTTGTTTACTTTCCAAAATATTTATTTTGGTGCATATCAAACTTCATATCATCATTATCCTGCGGTGTCGTTTAGGACCTGGAGTCTTCTTTCCATTCTGTTCTATCCCTTGCATTCTTTATATCATAGATGGAATTTAGTACCTCTGGCCTCTTATCAACATTCGTCTTAGGATTTCACTTGGATGTCATCGTTTTCTTGATCGTTTAGTTTTCTTTTTCAGTGCTTCCTCTTCTTCTTCTCATTCACCAGCTGTAAACTTAACTCTAGTGGAAAGTTCTGGTTGTTCATCCATTTCTGGATTGCAGTCCTGTTCTAAAACCTGAGTGTTTTGTATGCATCTGTTTGACATATCTGACTCATTTGTGTACAGACTGTTGGTTCCTTGCCTTTCAGATAGATGCACCGACTTCAAAGGAAGCTCCCAATTAGACGACTCTTACAACATGCTTTTGGATAGGCAGTGGGTCTATTCTTGTTTTCCCTCGAATAGGGCCCCAGAACCCACATGGAGACTGTCAGAGCTTGTTTTGGTGATCCTCTGTCCGCTTTATTTACTTTACTTACTTCACTTGATTTACTCAGGATGTGCCAAATAAATCCCTATCATCTTAGTCTTATAACTGTTGTCTGGCATGTCTTACATTTCTTGCCTTTCTTGAATGCGCTCATTTAATTTTATTTCTAAACCTTTCTTCACAAAATTTCAGGTTACAGGCTACACAAATATAGGAAAGAACATGTACCTGAATGATCTGTGCATCTTCCTCACTTAGTTTTCCTGAGCTATTTCTCTTCAGGTGATACTGAACATGCGAGGAGAGAGATTGGCTGCAGCCCACCACCTTCAGGAGAGACTCCAAGCGAGATCTGGCTAAACTGAACCTGCACTGCAAGTCTTCTAAAAGGGATAGGAACAGGGTTAACTGGGACACCAAAGATGTCTGTGTTCCAATTTCACATGATGGGATTTCATTGACATCACTGCTGCTACATCCGCCATCAATGGTGGTAGTTGCTGCTGAAGTGCTCGCAGACATCTGATTTCTGAGGATGTTTCCTACATTAGTGTTTGGCCACTCCCATGGAAGGATGTATGTGTGCCCATAAAAAGAGCCCAGGGGAATCCGGGAACGAGTGGTTCCACCACTGTATCTCCCAACAGTTGTGATCTGTTCAAAATAATAACAATGTTCTAATTACTAAACATGAAGTATGCAGTGAACCTATAACAACAACTGTATAAAGGCAGCATTTAAAGTGAATAAAGGCAGACCAAAAATTACATGGAGCCGAGAATTAGATAATAGGGTGAAAAAAATATGGGAAAGACACATAGGGGTGCTTAACACAGGGTGAAGTATGTATAGGACAACTTCGTACAAGTTGGCTGAGTCATTGGCAGTGACTAGGGATGGAGATAGAGAAGGATGAGGAGGAGAAATAGGAGAAGCAGGAACGTATAAAATGTTTACAGAACAAGTGGTCCTTCCATTATATCTTCTACCAGTATTCATTTGTTATAAATAACTAATTCAAAAACATGGCACTGTCAATAAATCTATAAAAACAATTTTATAAGGGCAGCACATTCAGCGCTCACTGATTCCATTATTAGGAGTGTATCAACTATGAAGAATTCAATGAATCTGTATGTAATATACAGGTGGTATAGGGCCAAACCATTAAGTATTCAAAAAACTTGCAATAAATACTGAGTTATTTATCACACAATAAGTGCTATAATAATCTGTAATAACAATATATAAAGCATAAATAGACATTTTCATAAATACTTAAATTAAAATGAAATATGAAGTGTTTGATACATTAATCTGTAATAACTTACTGAATTCAATTCACACTAAAACTGTTCAGCGTTGCCAAAACCAGTATGCTTAGATCACACTAGCAAGTTATAACCTGACACCATGAAATCTACAGAACTGGCACAATTTAATTAACAACACTGGTGAAATTTAACAGCTCTGGCAAGATTTATCAGCAGTGGTGAAATTTAACAGCCCTGGCAAGATTTAACAGCTCTGGCAAGATTTAACAACAGTGGTGAAATTTAACAGCCCTGGCAAGATTTAACAGTTCTGGCAAGATTTAACAGCTCTGGTGAAATTTAACAGCCCTGTCAAGATTTAACAGCTCTGGTAAAATTTAACAGCTCTGGCAAGATTTAACAACAGTGGTGAAATTAAACAGCCCTAGCAAGATTTTACAGCAATCGTGAAATTTAACAGCCCTTGCAAGATTTAACAACCGTGGTTAAATTAAACAGTCCTAGCAAGATTTAATAGCAGTGGTGAAATTTAATAGCAGTGGTGAAATTTAACAGCAGTGTTGAAATTTAAAAGCCCTGGCAAGATTTAACAGCAGTGTTGAAATTTAACAGCCCTGGCAAGATTTAACAACAGTGGTGAAATTTAACAGCCCTGGCAAGATTTAACAGCAGTGTTGAAATTTAACAGCCCTGGCAAGATTTAACAACAGTGGTGAAATTAAGCAGTAGTAGTAGGATTTTAAAAACTGAATACCAGAGTCAATATAGGCAATAATCTGTATGCTCTAAACAGTTTTTCTAATTCTGAAACTACATTTTCAATGTGTGCAAGTACTGAGAAATCTAACATGTGCACCATGCATAAAAGACCTTTAATATTTTGCCCTTATCACAGATAGTTAGGCGCCCAATTCTTTAACCAGAGATCAAAATAAAAAGATAGAATCAGGTTCGTTCAAGGGGGAAAAAATAATAATAAAAATAAACTTCAAAGAGAGTCATTTCTAAAAAGATACAAGTGTTCTCACTAACCTTGAGGTAACGGCAAACAGGTGCTGGCATAATATTGTTCATAACCAAGGTCCTGTGGTCAATGTCTGAAGCAACAACAAGCCTCTGGCCATCGATCTCCTCACCTTCTATCCAAACATCAATGGACAGAGAGGCCAGGTCCATGCTTGAGGGAATTATCACATCTGTCAGGACAATGGGCTTGCCAAAGTCCAAGGTGACAAATCGTCTAGCACCTGGTAAACAATTCAAACAGTCTTGTACTGTTGTGCTTATTTTTTAAATACTTGGTAATGTTGGGGACAACTATTGTGGTTACCTCTACAGTTCCTGGGACTTGCTATAATAAATTAGCACCTTCTTAATTATGAGAAGCCAAATCAAACCTTACCAAACAAAGCATATCCAAAATGAGGAGAGGAATGTAAAGCCTGAGGAAGACCAAGAACAAATGGAAAGATAACATCAGAAAAACTAGTTATCAAATCTCTCCAGCCGAGGTGGCCAGTTACAGTAAAAGAAGTAAAGGTTAGAAGAAAGGGATAATATTGGCACTCTATACTCTACTGAAAGAAATTAACTCAGCAGCACTTAAAAACACAAATAAAGTGGTAACTGTTACAATTGTAAACTAGTGTACATTAAATGGCCCAGTAAAACCTCCAAAAGAAACCCACACAAATAAAGTGGTAACTGTTGCAATTGTAAACTAGTGTACATTAAATGGCCCAGTAAAACCTCCAAAAGAAACCCACACAAATAAAGTGGTAACTGTTGCAATTGTAAACTAGTGTACATTAAATGGCCCAGTAAAACCTCCAAAAGAAACCCACACAAATAAAGTGGTAACTGTTGCAATTGTAAACTAGTGTACATTAAATGGCCCAGTAAAACCTCCAAAAGAAACCCACACAAATTAAGTGGTAACTGTTGCAATTGTAAACTAGTGTACATTAAATGGCCCAGTAAAACCTCCAAAAGAAACCCACACAAATTAAGTGGTAACTGTTGCAATTGTAAACTAGTATACATTAAAAGGCCCAGTTGGCAAACATCCTGGGATATGCAACAAACTATTTCAATTGTTGTAACACTGTTAAATCCAATAAATAAGAGAGACAATATAAAGTGCAAAAGGTCATCTTAAAACTTAAAAAAGACTGTTATCTCAGGATGCTACAATTTATCTAGCTTCTCTAATTGGCTAAATCAAGGATTGTGAAAAACGATCAGGAACAATACTGGGGGCCACAGAGATATATGTTCTCTGTTGAATGGTGAGACCCTTTTAAGAATAATATGATCAAAATCCAAGTACTGTAAAATAAAATCAAAGACAGAAGAACAGCAATATCACGACAAGATTGTGGTCATTTTCAGTCATATTATTAGTCAAAAAAATGAAGACAACCAGATAGATTAGCGAATAAAGATCAAAGAAACAAGCAAACAGAGGAATGAAATGGCAGAGTAACATATAAGAGGATGAATTTGGTAAAACACTAAGAATTCTTAGTAGCCATGTTTTGTTGGCTATCATTATCACCAGCATCACATAACCAGGAACATGAGGCAGATGGTGCAGTTAAAAAGCTTGGTTCAGCAATAAAAACAAAGACAAACTGAGGCCAATTGAACTGTAGACAACTAGTGATGTCGGCCATGCACACTGAAGGTAATGGAACCGCACTTGACACAGCACTAATCTGAGCCTGCCAGCCTGATGATCTCAGGCTTTCATCTGAACTTGAGGTGCAATTGTATTATTTATGAGTGCTGAGCAGTCTATAGAGAATGTGGATTTAGCACCAGATGCTCAATGGCATCAAAAGAGCCCTTTACTGTTTACTTATATTATAAAGAAAGAAAAATAATGCAAATGTGAAAACTGTTAACGTGATGTGGGGGAAAGAGGGGAGAGGGTGTTTTTACTGAAATCTGATGCGTTTGGCCAAAAGTTGCAGATATTGCCAATGTGCCAACTGACCTTTTAAGAGTGAATGCAGAGAAAGAAGAAAAAAGAGGAATAGGAGGGGGAGGAGCAGGAAGAATAAGAAATTGTACCAAACATGGTTAAAACTAAATAGCTGCATATAGCAAGTCTACAAGCACCTCATACCTGAGTGCATCCTTTCTATGACCAACACCTGTGGAGGAGGTGCCTGCAACAAGCCTTGAATCTGAGGAAACGCCAGCTGTTTCTCAGGGACTGTCTTCTGAGGCTGTTGCGGCTGCTGTTGCTGCTGCTGCTGTTGTGTGTTTATGCTCTGTTTGGGTAGTGTCTGGGACTGATGCTGCTGTTGGGAATAGGACTGAAACTGTAGCATTTTGGCTCCGTAGATCTTTGATGAGTGGCTCATGAGATTTTTCTTTTTCAGAAGGAATTCATCAAGTTGTGGCTTCAGATTTAGATGAGAAAATGATACTTTCTGCACAATGGTACTGATGATGATAACATAAAGCACAAACACAGCACCAACTCGCAAAACAAAATAAAAGAAATAAAAAGGTTTTAAAAAAAACCATACAACTAAATTTGCAGAACCTAAAATAAATAGAATAAAACCTAATTAACACGAATTTGCTTAATATAACACTTGGTTAACAGGAAAAAAAAATGTCCCATCAGCGACACATTAATTGGAGTCCCTGGTAGCCCAAATTTCTTTTTCACATAAACTCTGGATTTTTCACTTATTATGAATTCTTGTTTACAAGATGTTACTTTAATGAACAAATCTCTGTCTCACTCTCTCTCTCTGCCTTCTTTCTTTCTTTCTCTGTATGTGATTGTTTTGAGAAAGGGAATAAGCGATAAGTAGGAGAGTGGAAAAAGCAAAGATGAATAACCAGCTCACTGAATGAATGAATAAATCAATAAATGAATGAATAAAGGAGCAAAAATCTTTTAAAAGAATCAAAAACTGGGCATGCAGGCTCTCTTAGGCATGTATGTATGTATGTATGTATGTATGTATGTATGTATGTATGTATGTATGTATGTATGTATGTATGTATGTATGTATGTATGTATGTATGTATGTATGTATGTATGTATGTATGTATGTATGTATGTATGTATGTATGTATGTATGTATGTATGTATGTATGTATGTATGTATGTATGTATGTATGTATGTATGTATGTATGTATGTATGTATGTATGTATGTATGTATGTATGTATGTATGTATGTATGTATGTATGTATGTATGTATGTATGTATGTATGTATGTATGTATGTATGGTTGTGTGTGTATGTATGTATGTATGGTTGTGTGTGTATGTATGTATTTATGTATTATGTGAGTTTGTATGTATGTATGTATGTATTATGTGAGTTTGTATGTATGTATGTATGTATTATGTGAGTTTGTATGTATGTATGTATGTGAGTTTGTATGTATGTATGTATGTATGTATGCATGCATGCATGCATGCATGCATGCATGTATGTATGTATGTATGTATGTATGTATGTATGTATGTATGTATGTATGTATGTATGTATGTATGTATGTATGTATGTATGTATGTATGTATGTATGTATGTATGTATGTATGTATGTATTATTACATGAATATAACATGCTTCATTGATGAAATACAACTGCTGTGTGAAAGATGGAAGTTTGGAAGGGCCGAATGTAAGACAGGCCTGCGTGCCTAATTTGTAACCTTTTGAAAATAAAGTTCGTTCGTTCTTACACTTGGCCCTTCCAAACACTCATGTTTCACACAGCAATTGTATGTTATCTGTAAAGCATGTTATGTTAAAAAAAATACATGTTTAAAAAAAAAAAAAAAAAGCATGATGGCAAAAGCTTATATTCATTTATGTATACTAACATGCATCTTATCATTCATCTATTCATATACACACATACATACACACAAATAACTATAAAGTAACATACACAAAAATAGCAAATATAACTATCCAGCAGAGGCCTAGTAAGTGGCCAGTGGATCATATGCTAACTGTATTGTATTATTACTGATCTTTCTCTGCTGGAGCTCTGGCCTCTGGCCTATTTCCCCACATGTTGGTCCCTCAGTAAACTTAGCTGAATGGCCCTGATCTACAAAAAGATGTAATAACATTACGTGCAGAGAACCATAACACAAATCATCAAAAAACTACTAATTATCCTCACAGAACATTTACAACATGAATATCTACACAGAGCAATAACAATACCCCTTTCTAAACAGACAAATGAAAAGTTGAAACGTCAGTACACACAACAGGGGCACTCCATGGTCTTGCATGTTGAAGGCTGTGAATTCAGATTTTGAACCACCCTTCGATTTTTGGGTGCAGATGCTTTGAGATCCTTTATGATTTCACTAGAGCTATCCAATCTTGTGCTTTGTTCAGTCAGTGGGTGAACTGCCATAGAGAGACTGAGCCTTATGTGACAACCCACACACAAAAATACTGCTGCAACAAAATCAATCTCTCCTGCCCTGAAACACTCTTTTAAACATACAATAAGAAAACTAACGTTAATGGCGGCAATTTTTAACATAACAGAGTTTTTGAAATTATTTTACTGATCTATGTCCATACAGAATCTTTAATTCCACCTTCTGTATAGGGACATACAAAAAGAAAGAAAACAAAAATGAATGAATGAATAAATCAAGAATTGACATCATGGCACTCGAGACATTCCCACACAAGCACTGTCCACTTCCTCAGTAGCCAACGAAGTTCCCATACTAATGGGGATAGCTGCAACTTGACTGATATAGAAAAAAAGATATAACTAGGCATACTTACAATTTTAGGAGCGGCAGGCTGGGTCAGTATTGAGGTCAGATCACCTCCTAGGATGGGAGACACTGTCTCATCAACAAAAGTAGATGCCTGCAGGGGTATCAGGTTTGCGGTGGTTGTATTGAAAGCACTGGCTACTGGAGCAGGTCCACTTGTGCTGGGAGCTGCATCCATTCTTTCCATGCGGGTACCATCACTTGTGGCATGGCAGCGGAAGTGCAAGGGCTCCACTTCCAGCAGGCCAAAAATGTCATTCCTCAAGCAATTCAGCTGAAGAAGAAAAGTTTCATTACAAATCTGGCAACATGACTGATGAACTTAGGTAACAAACATAAGTGATTTTTGCTGCTAAACATCATGTAGCAGGTCCTCTACAGAAGGTCGCTCTCATCATAGTTTCCTCCAAGAAACTTGTCTCCCACCAGCTCTCTCTACATCCAATTCTCCCACCACATGCCCTTCCCTATCCAAGTTGTCATTTATATCATGCACTCATCTTCATGCTGGTTGACCCCTTCCTCTTCTCTTCCCTGGTACAATGCCCTCTGCTATCATTCTTTCCAATCCGCGTGCACTTTATACGACCAAAATATTTCAGTACATGACTGATAAGCTACGGTAATAATGGTAACTTAATGATTTTAGGTTTTATTAATATGGCTGAAACTAATTAAAAAATGATTTATGATGATTTCAAATGCTCTAACATATGATAAACTATAAAAATAAGATGGTTGAAAAACTCTAGAGATAATGATTTATGATGATTTTTAATGTCATTAGCATGACTGATACACTACGATAATGACAATTAAACAGCTTGATAAATGACACATAAAAATGATAATTTTATTTGCTTACAATTAGATGAATGATAAACTAATGATGGTTTTAACGATTATCAATGGGTCCTAAGACTTTGATAAGAACGGAGGTGTGCAACATTAAAAAAAAAAAAAAAAAAGATATGTACTACTGACAAAACAATCAAGGCCCTTTTTATGCCAGTTTGTAGACCAAACAGAACTGTGGGGGAGGTGGTCAACATCACACACTGGCAAGATTTACTTCCCAGGACATTACCTGGTTCTGATTTATAGCTGGGGTGACCTGGGTCAATACTGAAGGAAACCAATCTGACTTGATGCAGATTCAAACCAAAGATATTTGTACTTGCAGGCGAGCATAAGGCACAACAATGATGTATTATCAACATCCCAGAACACTGACAAACATGTAAAACAGCTAACCAGGTTTTTAGATGCTTTCTCAGGGGGTGACAGCAGAAGGTCAAACAAGTCTGGCTGCTCCTTGTTCCCGGTGGTACTGACCCCTCCTGACGCTGAGGAACTAGCTGTTTTGATGACATTGGTAAATATTGTCGTTGGAGTTGTGCTGCCAGACTGTGTGCTTGGCTTTGTCAGATTGCCAATATCCATGTCAAACAACTCTTCCTCAAATGGATTTCCATACAGTCCGTACCTGCAGAAAAGCAATAAATACAGAATTATTCAACTGGGCAAGATTGTCCTCTCCTGGCGGAGCTGCGAATCAACATGTGGCCACGCCCAGTAGATCAGACAACTAAGCTTTTAGGGAACCTAAGAGACCTTGATGTGACATCCCAGTTTATTGCCCACAGTGGATTAAGCGCATGACCAGATATCGCTGAAGAAGAACTCAAAAGAACCATCATTGTGGAACTAGTTAGCTTCAATAGAATGACAAAAATAAAAGAGGCAGGCTTCTGACAAAACGGTTCAGGCTCTCACCAAATAGCTTTGTAAGAGAATAACACGGCAAAGTTTGGAAATAAATACATCACTTTAAGCTGGGTTTGTAGACTATGAAAGAACATAGAGTAACACTGATAGGAAGTTTCTTTGGCAAAGATGAGGCACTGTGATAACCTATAAAAGGCAATTAGCATAATAAAGGCAAATTGTTAAACATGAAATACAGAATACTTCATAAGAATAAACAGATGAATATGGAATAAGAACAGGAGTAGAGCAGAGTGCCTTTCAGTGCTTGTAATTTTCAATGACTAACTGACCAGATCATGAGGTCAAAAACAGCTACCACCTAAATAGAATTCAGTGAATGTAGTCCTGACCTAAGATTACATAAAATTACCTGCCAGCTCACTGATGGAAACAAGAGGTGTCAGAGATACTGCATAATAGGCCAGACTGGGCTCTTTTGAACCTGCCAGATCAGGGGAATTAAGTCTGCCAAGCAAGAAAGATAAGTAGGGGGAGTCAGTAAGTGACTGACACTACAAAGAAAGATAATTGTAGTTTAAAAGTACCTCAGGGGTGTGACTTAAATCCTCTCCTGAAGAAAACAGTCTGATACAGATAAAGGGAAGGGACTAACTCTGCTAACTGAGAGTAGAGGAAAGATTAATACTGCTAGGGATCTTGAATTCATTTCAGAGTGCTGCCAGCATGCCATCAACTAAGATCAACAACAGAAAGTCTTTGTTTGGCAAATTGCTGGAATTTTCCCAGTTCCCATCAGGGGCAAGGACCAGTCAGCACTAATCATAAGCACAGGAGTCCCGTGTACGAACCTACGTTGCGTGGGAGATCAGCATGCTGGAAAAACTCAAATCTAGGGCTGTATCGTATCGTATCGTATAAAGTCAAACAAAAATTCCAAACTTAGTCCTTTTTTAGCCGCCTGATGGCCTGCTTTTTCAAGGACGGTGAAAAAGCAATCTTATATTACCACAAAGTTATGTTCAGTATGTTTGTTTGTAAACTAATCATCATTATAAGAACATCACTCTAACCTCAGATGCTCAGTTCTCTAGCTGAAGCATCTCATTACCACCATACCATCAGCCAGTCACTGGTTGTTCAACTATTTTAACATGACAAATGTCATCTAAATTATTGTTAGTATAATAAATCAATAAATCAAGTTTTATACTACATCATTTGTTCTACATCAGTTGTTAAATTCCAAGTACCTTTTTAACTAAACTATCAGATAGAATTACATTTGGTGGGGGCTCTTTAATCATTCTTTACCAGGAGAAGGTTGTCAGGAGGGGTCACTTGCCCTGTCTAACAGTTCATTAATTAAAGTAATTTAGACATCTAAAACCCCTTAACTTCTCCTGTGGCTACCAAGTGCAGCTGCTGTGAATTTACATGACGAGCCAAATATGGCTGTTTTCTTCAATATCCAGGACTTTGAGATCAACACAGCTCAAATATTAGTCCAGTTTCTCCTGTGGAGGTGAAGCGTTGAGATTGAAACTCCTACTACTCACAAAAGCATCTATACGCTCGGTGACTCACCACAAGAGCACATAAGAAACATTTCCTATGACTAAATATTTGCTAATCACTTTATCTTTCTGATATGTTGGCACCTTTCCTCTTTCCAGACGACAGTGTTATATTGTGCTATGTGGAAGCAAGGACTCACAGCCCATGGTGATGGCGAGGGAGAGCAGTAAGACCAACTCACATTAAAAAAAAATATTCCACAATTAGCACAAGCGATTTCAGGACTGTTGCTGCCATCATACATATGTATTTAGTATAATTTTTCTCAGATGCTCAGCTCTCAATCTTTCTGCAACCATTGTTTCCTTTATTCCCATTCCCTTCCTGATTTCCCCCCTCCATGCAACATAGTCCATAGCATTTAATTCCCATGACTCTACCTCAATACCTGTATTATTTATGTTCCACTTGCACACATCTTTATACTGAAGTAGAGGCTGACATTGACAGCTTCTATCGATCTGTATTTCATCATAGAGTCCTTAGGGACTCTACCATCCTCCATCCTCCAGGTGTTACCCAGCCAACTGAACCTTTGTAGACTGAGCATTGAGAAAATTGTTGTGATCCCTGCTCTTTCCAGTACCTCAGTGTTTGTGATCTTGTCCTGCCACTTAATGCCAAGTATTCTTCTTAGGCATCACATGTGAAAGCTATGTAGCCATTTCTCCTGGTGCGAATAAGTTGATAAAGTTTCACTGCCATAAAGCAGAGTGCTGAAAACACAAGCCTGATAGACAAGAGTTTTTGTTTTAATCATGAGCAGTCTGTTCCCCCAAACTCTTTTTGTCTAGCTGCTCACTGTTATTCTTGCCTTACCTATCCTGATATTGATTTCTTGGTCCTGTGATAGACTGTTTTTCAGTGTGGATCCCAGATATATAAAATGGTCAAATGTCTCTAAATCTTCACCATCAATGTAGACTGAGGGTCTATCATAGACACCTTGCTTCATAATCTTTGTCTTCTTTTCGCTAATTGTTAGTCCAAATTCACAGCATGCATGAGCAAATGCAGATAGTGAATATTGCAGTTCTTCCTCCGAGTGGGTGGTAATTCCTGCATCATCTGCAAACAGCAGCTCTCTGATCTTCTTAACCTGGCTTTGGCTTCCAACCTACAAGCTTTGCAGAGGTTGCCTTCAGATCAAGAGTGGATAATAACCCCCCCCCCCCCCCCCCCTCCTGATCTCAAAAGAAGTATTTAAAAAAGAGTGGGAATGATATTCCATAAGGGTAGGAGCAAGTACACATCCTGGCTTCACCCCACTCTAGATTACAAACTCCTCTGATATTTTACAGTCAAAACTGATAGTGCCTTTCATACTTGTGTGTGTGAAAGGACTCAATAATGCTCAGCAGGGTAGGTGGGCAACCTATCTTCTTGTATATGTTTAACAGACCGTTACAACTAACCAAATCAAATGCACTGGTAAGACTAATTTCCTTTTCTCCATAGCACAAAGCCTGAGCAGTATTGTAGAGACCATGTGTTTCCTATGCATCATGATTCCTCTCTCAGCCTGTGTTTTTTATTCCAAAGGACAGGTAACACTGGCATGTTTGGAATAAAGCAGGCCGCAGAAGCCGCCAGATCAGAAAAGCAGAGCTTTATCTGCCCACCTATTAAAGCTTCTCTCCTAGAACAGTTGCCAGCCAAGACTTAAGGGCCTGGTCTGCCCTGCTATATCATAAAGTTTCAGATTGCATTTCCTTTTCCTAGGAAAAGCCTAGTATTCTCCCCAATCCACTCCTGCACCTGAAGCCAACAGCACAATGTGGGATGTCAGGTTTGTTATATACTGCACAACATTTAGCGTTAACAGAAAATAGGTAGAACCCAATACTGTTACAGTGTAGCTCATTCATATCTGACTAAGAACTGACCTGACAATACTATTTATATATAGCAGCATGGTTCTGTAAATAAATATTATACTATCAAAGAGGCATGATGCTGGTAAGTAAGAAGAAATCATTGTTTCCATAAATCAGATAATATAAACAATGAATGAATCAAACAGCTGATGAGAACATGCATTTAACCCTGCACAAAACTAGGCCCAACAAATAAAAGAACCAATGCTGCTGGACAGAGATAACTACAACAAGCAATACTTACCTTGTTTTAAGCAGTGCATGAAGGTCGTGGGTTCTAATGCTGTACTGTCGGGATACATCCAGCAAGAGTTCACAGGACTTTTGTGCCACTAGCTCCATGTCAATCATCTTAACTCTGTTCAGGAGGGTGAAAAACCAGCACATAGCACCACTGCTGTTGCAAAGGGGCAACAAGGAAAAGCACTCCAACAAAGCATTGACAAGGGCCTGGCTGAATGCAGGGGCTACAAGTGGATCAGACGTGAGCTTTGAGCATCTGCAAAAATCAAGTGATGATAAATTTTAAGTCTTACTGTGTAAAGATAATTGTCTTATAAGAGCTCTGAGCATCTGCAAAAATCAAAGGATAAATGCTGAAATCATATTGTGTAAGATCACATTCTTACTGTAGACAGACATGCTCCATGCAGAGTGGCAAGCATCACTTCAGAGGCGGTTAATCGTTGTCCCGGGTAGTTAGTATTGATTGGATATTTTCTGCAAGTCATGCCAGTGTTGGGAAATGAGCGGGCAGACTGGCTGGCTCTGCAACACTTGGTGGGGAATTGACTGATGTATGACAAGCTAGATATTGTCAGGGTCCTTTGGGAGCTAGTGAACAGTGCTGAGGTATAGACAAATCACTACAGTCTGAAAAGAATGGCGCTGCGAGGAGTTACCAGGGGTTCTGGCTGATGCTCAATACTCAAGCAAAAGGCAAGATGAATATGCAATCAGACAGTTACTGGTGCCACTGGAATTGGAACTCTTCACTTGCTGCTGAAGATGGGGATGGAGCGCTTAAGGGTGTGTTCAGAGTGCTATGATGTCGATTCAACATTCAATAACATTCAACCTTATTACTGTACAAGAGCTCTCCACATCTGCAGAAATCAATGCAATGAGGAGAGACATCAAAATGGGGTATCACACACAGCTTAACTGAGAGGCAAGGACATACTAGAGGATTTCAATAAAAGCCAGCAGCTGAATTAAAGTGAACTACATTTCATCAATCTATTAAAATTATAATTTCCCCACTGGTATAGTTGTCTTTACTTTGGCGCCATTAACTTTTCCTACTAATATTATCAAAGTATGCATATGCTGCTTGTTTAATTTCTTTCAGCTGTTTTTATTTCATGGTTTTTGGAATTACCTCATTTTCCTGCTCCTACTTTATGCAGTATTGTTTCAAAATCTCACTGCTGAATACTTTATACTGATCACCAGCTGTGCTTAGAAATGTTCTGACAGGTTACAAGTGGTCAAGTGAAAACTGACAGTTGAAAACTAACTTTAAAAAAATAAAATAAAAATAAAGAAACACTTACTCCATGCACAGAGCCAGCAGCCTTGACAACTTGTGTGCGGTGGTACGAGATCCTAAGATGAAGCAGGACTTCACCATGCCCTTCAAATCAAGCTGCACCGACTCTAACAATGCTCTATCATCACCTCTGGAAAATATCCAAGATTACACTTATGTTAGCATGGACCTTCTTATCCACCCCAATAGACATGAAAAGGTGTACATGAAATCTATGACACTTACTTAAAACGTATCTGCTACTAGAGAATGTGTCTTCCTCTACTCCACCCCCACTGGGGACGAGGCCAACACTAACTTGTGGTTTGTTGGCTGTTGCAGCTGAAAATGGGACAACTGATTCTCATAAAAGTAGGCAACTTCCCAAGAATAAGTAAAAGTAAATCTCATAAAATGGACAGCTAAATTTGAAGAGATTTTACAGCTGTTTACAAATGTGTAAAGCAAGGAGTTACTGTTATTTCTACATCTGTCTATCATATCTTTTACAGCAAAGCCACCTGCTTACTCAACATTTCATCACGCATATATAAATAATTAATGTACTTTTATTAATTTAATTCAGACTGCTTACATCCATCTAATAATGGTGTTTGGGATGTTTTCTTTGCACTCTGAAAGCTGTGGATTTAGTTTGAGGATATGACCAATCAGTTCGACAAAGCAGCTGTTTGATGATCCTTTAGCTCTGCACAGAGAGCCCAAGTTATATTTCAATAAAACCCAGCACATTAAATTCTAACTTCTTGCCTTTAAACACATTTTATTTAATTTATGGCACACACACTTTTGCATAAGCAACTAACATAACGCATCCAATCAGCTGAATGAAAAACAGGGACACGACTCACTTTTTCTCAGGGTCATTCATCTGTACGGCCAGAATCCAGATGAGAATATCTAAGGCCATATTTTGCATATGTTCCATGCTGACTCCCAGGATAGTCTCCGCAGTTGAAGTCACCAACAATTTGATCAAACGTTTGTGAAAGCCTGTATCCTGAATCATGCTGCTGCGATGGAGTTTTTCCGAATGCACGTTAGTCTTCTTGAACACACGGACGGTGATTGAAAGCTCCTGGAACCAGTCACAACCTTTCAAATCTGACAGTTTTTGCTTTTCTGAGACAGAACTCTTCTCCGACCCCGCTTGTGCAACACTATCAAATAAGCCTTTGATGTTCTTGTGTTTGCTTTCTGCGTGAATGTTCTTGTAAATGGTGCTTAGCGTTTTCTTCTTAGATTTCAACTGTAGAAAGTATATGATCAATGCAGTCAAAAATAAAAATAAAAACTAGATTTTTAAAAATCCTCTCCCAACCCCAATTTCTCATAATATTGTTCGTTAAGACTAAACACTAATCAACACTGTCACAGCTCCAACATTTATGAACTGTGATGACTAGACATTAACCAACAATATCATAACTGCAAACACTGGTGAGACTAAACATCAGCCAACAATGTAAAAACGGCAAACACAGTTAAGACTTAACATTAGCCAACAATGTCACAGCTCTAACACTGTTAAGACTGAACATTAACCAACAATGTCACAGCTCCAAACACTGTTGAGACTAAACATTAATCAACAATGTCAGAGCTCCAAACACTGCTGAGACTAAACATTAATCAACAATGTCACAGCTTCAAACACTGTTAATGTTATGACTAAACATCAGCCAACAATGTCACAGCTCCAACACTGTTAAGACTGAACATTAACCAACAATGTCATAGCTTCAAACACTGTTGAGACCAAACATTAATCAACAATGTCACAGCCTCAAACACTATTATAACTAAACATTAGCCAACAATGTCACAGCTCCAAACCATTACAAACTCTGTTAAGACTAAACATTTAGCAATACTCCCAGCTCCAAATATTTGCAATCACTGCTGAGACTAAACATGAACCCATTAAAATCTATCACAAAATTGAACACCATTTCCAAATACTGACCATTTCCACATCCACCTTCCCACAACTCACCACTTTATCCATGTGTGCCACGGCACTGCGGTCAGAATCTGTCTGGTCTTTGCTTATGAGCACTGGCTCAGACAGGGGACTGTTCTCAAAGCCTTTCACGTGCAACAGCAAAGATCTCAGCTTACAGTTGAACAAATGAGGGCTGGACAATGTAATGAGACCTCCAGATCCTGTCAGATCTAGGCAGTTGTGTAACATGACCGGCCCACACAGCACCTCTGCATTGTGAGCCTCCAAGAACCTTGGGTCTACGACACCACTGGTGGATCTGACATCACTGGCTCCTCCCACTACCGCAGCTTTTCTGCTGCCGGAAGCTGCACCTGATGCTGCTGTGCTCTGCAGGTTGAAGTCTGAGGTTCCACTACCACTTGGAGGGCAGAATATGGAACTGATGTTTTGCTTCAACAGGGTGACCTGCCCAAAAATAATAAGACAAATAAAACTGTTATATCAAATATAAAATGTACTTCTGTGTATAAATGTATGCATTTCAGTACACAAATTCACATCTTCTTTCTCCTCACTCTCCAAGAAACCACAGTACAACATTTCTAACTAACTTCAGAAGCAAATAAGGTATCATGCAAATGTCTATAACAGCTTTAGGTTAACCATCTGTAGGAGCACAAGAGGTAGACAGCAGCACAAAAAGAGACAGGAGCATAAGAGAGAGAGAGAGAGACAAGTGCACAAGTAGAGACAGACAGGAGCACTAGCAGAGACAGATGGGAGCACAAGAACAGACAGGCAGGAGCACAAGCAGAGACAGGCAGGAGCACAAGAAGAGACAGAAATGATCACAACAGACAGACACGATCACAAGAAGAGACATACATACAGCAGCACAAGAGACAGACAGGAGCATAAAAAAACAGACAGTAGCAAAAGAAGTGAACAGACAGCAGCACAGGAAGGGACAGACAGTAGAACAAAAAGAGGCAGATAGCAGCACAAGAAGAGACATACAGTAGCACAAGAAGAGAAGGACAGCAGCATAAGAAGAAACAGACAGTAGCACGAGAAGAGATAGGAAGAGTGTACTGACCTCAACATTAGGCTGCTGTGTGCAGCGAGGGTACAAAGTGAACTTAACATCAACATGACCCACTGTGCACGGCTTGGGCAACAAAATCTCAAATAAATGCTCGTCCCAGGTTTGCCTGCAGTAATTAAAGGTAATAGCAAACAAAATGTTATGTACTGCAAGGTTTATTATACTTATGGTAACAACAGCAACAATAAAAAGTGAACTAAACACATCAGGCACCATGAGATGTAAGAAATGCATCACTGTGTTTTAGGCTTCCTGTGCTGTTTCCAGAGGACCTTTTTTTTAGGTGAAAATTAATAGACAGCCAGTTATTTTCTTTTTTATTTATTACATCCCCCCTGCCCCACTAAAAGAAATTCATAACATTACTTTGCATTATAAAAAGGAGATTATCAATAGATTCTCTCCATGAAAAGTACCATTTGTGACCCTGCTCATGCTAAATTTCCTGAAGAATTATGATTTTCAAGTTCACCTACTGTCGTATCTGTTTAATTGCAAACTCTAAATAGACAGCTTGTGTTGCTTCTCAGGGTCATTTCAGAACAGTTATGAAACAAGAAATAGTTATACAAAATTTTCTGTGTGATCGTGCATAAAGGGTGGAGGAAACTTGTCCCATGTTATGATAAACTGCGAGCAGCACAGAAACCAAGGACTAAAATACCCAAAAGCCACCGAAGAGTGTTTCTAAAGAATGAAGAAAACTCTTAACAGACGCAACTTGATGTAACTTGTCACATCCACTATTTATCCGTCGCAAAAAGTCGAGAGCGGACATGCTGGTCACATCCATTTAAAGGGTAATGGGTGAAGGCTGAAGAAGTGCATTTTTGGCTAATTCTTGTGTGAGACAAATTATATTGCAAAGAAATATTGGGTCAGCCGGAGATACTGTCTGCCTTTTATGCTTCTTAGGAGCCTAAAGCCCTGAAACAACTCATCCTATATTTTGTTTTGCCATCTCTAGGTGCTCCCTCCATGTCTTTTTTATACTGTTTATCTCTATCTCTACTACCATGTCCACATGTTTTGAAGTCTCTTCTATGTGTGTCTTATCCAGCAGCTTTCCTCGCCTCTTAACCCATCATCCTAGTAACTATTTTTTTGTATGGGTCAGGAACCTGCAGGAATTCCCCAACAAATCTTTTTAAAAGAACCATTTTACACAGATCAATGATAAATTTGTTTACAAATTTATTTACAAACATTTTTAAAAGCTATTTGTTTACCCCCCCCCCCCCCCTCTCTTTTTTTTAAAATATAAAAATGCTATTTTTAGTCAATATATTCATAACCTGGCCTGCTAGATGGTCCGCAGGTGCATACACAGCCAACAGTGTAGTTATGATTTTCGTAAAACACATTTTAAGGTAGTTTTGTAGTATCATTTTAGTATTCTATTCTGATTCAGTTAATGAAGTTTATTAGTAAAATGTTTTAGTCATTCCATGCCTCTGACCCATTAAACAGTAAACATTTTAGATTTCAGTTAATTATTCTAAATTAAGAGAAAAAAATTTAAGTTCTTTCGACTTTCGCAAATCTAGTTTTATGAAAACTCATCTGAGCTTTTGTACGCTCCAATAATATCACTATAATTTAAGATGATGGTAATTTCACTTTTTTATTAACCCACTGGACTACCAGCGTCGCACGTAATGCGACAAGGCGACGTTTACTTCCATCTGCCAACGTCACACCCTTTGCGATTTTAGCTTTGGACGCTCGCCGTCATGTTAAAATCGCTATTTTTATGATGGATTTAGTTGAAACCTCTAGCTTATTCATTTTTGTATGGTTAATTAAGGGAAATAACTCCGTAGTGCTTGAAGTAAATATTTTACGAATTTTTTTAGTTAGCTCCCATGACGGTGAGACATTGACGAAAAATTCATCATGGCGTCAAATTATCGGAACCATCGTGGTGACCATATCTCTCCTAATATTTCTAATGATGCATTCGATTTTCTTGATTTTGCTTCAAAAAGTGCATTTGAAGACACTTCTGAACAGTTTGATGGCTATGACTATAATAAATTTAACGAAGTGCCATTCAAAACATCGTCGACTGTAAAACGACAGTATGACGCTTCGAAGTCAAGTCTGACAAAGACAGTCACAGTGTTGTCGGCTGCAAGTACTGGTGCCGCAGGTTAATTTGCTGATAGTTCTTGTAAGAGTATTCAGTCAAAGCCCACAGATTATAAAGATTTTGTGCTTGAGTCTGCACATGACGAAAATATCATTGCCGCTTTTGATTCAGAATCATCATCATCTAACGAGTCCGGAGAAGATGTGCCACGCCCCCAAATGGTTGATGACTGGCATTGTGATTAAGAAGGCTTTCCTGGAGTACCCCCATTTACTGGCACTTCTGTTTTATTTCTGCCAGAAGGAACAAATGAACCACTGGATATTTTCTTCAGTAAAGACATACTTGCTGTGTTTGCAATAGAAACAAACCGTTATGCTGAGACAAAGATTAGTGCTGGAACTGGAAACACACAACCCCTAATGAAGTGACAGGGTTTCTTGTACTGTTGTGTCACATGTGTTGTGAAAAAGCTATTTCAGACTACCAGAGTTTATATCCATCTCTCCACTCATCATTTGCTGCCACCATCATGTCACGGGGGCGTTTTCTATATATTGCTGTCAGATAACATATTTTTCTGTTGCCTTTTTAGCACCATATCTACAGCCACATGATGATGATGATATAAAACAGTAAATCTACATTTGTCTTGATATTTGTTTTCTTTTTAATTTTGTGCAAACAATATCAGATAGGATAAGTGATATTGAACAGTTGTGAAGCTGTGACATTTTTTGGGAGTCTGAATTATTGTCAGATAAAGGATTTTTCAGTTGCCTTTTTTGCACCATATCTACAGCCACATGATGATGATGATATAAAACAGTAAATCTACATTTGTCTTGATATTTGTTATCTTTTTAATTTTGTGCAAACAATATCAGATAGGATAAGTGATACTGAACAGTTGTGAAGCTGTGACATTTTTTGGGAGTCTGAATTATTGTCAGACAAAGGATTTTTCAGTTGCCTTTTTTGCACCATATCCACAGCCACATGATGATGATATAAAACAGTAAATCTACATTTGTCTTGATATTTGTTATCTATTTAATTGTGTGCAAACAATATCAGATAGGATAAGTGATATTGAACAGTTGTGAAGCTGTGACATTTTTTGGGAGTCTGAATTATTGTCAGACAAAGGATTTTTCAGTCGCCTTTTTTGCAACAATCTGCAGCCACATGATGATGATGATTATGTCAGACAAAGTAAACCCCATTTTTTGTCTTCACATTGTTCTCGGTTAAATTTTGTGCGAAAATACAAAATATTATATATGTTAGTTGAAAATTTGTGAAAAAAAATCATCATTATCAGTCTTTATTGTTGTCAGATAAATGATTTTCAGTTGCCTTTTTTGCAACAATCTACAGCCACATGATGATGATGACTATGTCAGAGTAAACCTTATTGTTTTTTTCTTTAAATGTGTTCTTGGTTTAATTTTGTGCAGAAATACAAAATATTATACATTTTTGTTAAATATTTTTTGAAAATAAGACATTTTTATTTGTCTTTATTGTTGTCAGATAAAAGATTTTCCGGTTGCCTTTTTTGCACCAATCTACAGCCACATGATGATGATGCAAAACAAAATAAACAACTTTTTTTTCTTGAAATCTGTTCTTCATTCAGTTTGGTGCAAAAATACAAAATACTGTAAGATTATATCAAATAGTTGTGAAGCTATGGCATTTTTAGTAAACACTAAAATACGTGGTATCTGGGGAAATGCAAGGGTTAATGAGCTTGGTAGTCAGTGGGTTAACCCCATGACAGGTGGCTGCACCTGCAACACATGCAGTAGTGAATATATTGACATGAAAGTTCTCTTGCAGATACTAATAGTAGCTTGCAATTTCTAGAAAAATGATGAGAACTCTATGGACAGATAAAAAAGTTCAATGAAGATGTCCTGAAATCCGTATAATCCCGGCTAAAGGCTACACTAGAATCCAGCAAGACGGCAACGACGAGGAATGACTGAATGGCATCCCGCTCCTTTTCACCTCACTTTATCCACCTCTCCTGGATGCACTATGAGTTCAATTCCCCCACCCTTTTTCCACAGAGAGCACTTGAGTTCGATACTCAACAGGCCACAGCAATTCTCATCGCCGAACATTTGGATCTCAAAGCGTGAGCTGGGTGTTCTGGGTTTATGATATTTACGTACACCGGAGCCTAGCTGCCAACCCTAACCGACACAACTGGATCGCACAAAAACAAATGACGAACAGAATACCTGTGAGGCTCCACCTAACATTTCACACACATATCCACGACATGACCAACCTGTTCTTATTGCAGGAAGACAACTATAAAAACACTATGGGCACACGCGGAATACTTTGACATTTTGGAAATATCCAGAAACAAAAACTGATTTCAGTACTTTTTGGCAAAGTAAAATACTCAAAAATGTAGAACTATAAATCGTGGTCCAGAGGACGTTGTGTAGAAAAGCTTGCTCTCCTACGAAATACACCTGGCCGAATCAGAAAGAGACGAAACCAAGAGAAAACACCAAGAAAGAAAAGGAAGAAATGCACAGCTAACAACAGTGAGGAAGACGAGCGGTCTGACTCGAAAGGAAGCATTTGGCACAGAAAGGGCCCAAATTATAGAACTTTAGTCATGAAAGTGATGCAAATAACCCAGACCACAAATATAGGCAGTGACTGTTAGCAGCCTCGGCTAGCTAGCAGCAGTCTGAAAGTGATCGACCTTTCAATTTTTTTCTCAAAAGGAATAGGAATTGGGAAAAGTCCTAAAGGAAATTAACTCACAAAGAAGACTTGCATTCATCAGAAAGTGATAATCTACATTCTTTGGGTACATTATAAGAAAATTTGAGAATATCAACACAACAGTAAAGCTGGAGGGGAAGACGGGCAGAGGTAGATGTCAGACAATTTAGCATCATGGCATGAAAGAGCACTTGTACCACTAATGACTGACAGTACACGAGGCAGAAGAATCTGCATAGACATGATTAAGAACACCACATGGCACGGACTATTAGAAGAAACAGACTTACCCAGCATCAGAAGTGAGTTTCCAGGTGCGGGTGTGTTGTGTGGACTCCCCTTGTTGCTGCAGATGTTGGGGGTGTCGGCGTTGTTGTTGTTCTTGTTGGATCTCTGACCAGCAGGGAGGCACTACTGCAGTGAACCGCGGCATCAGGTTTTCAAACTGGATAATTTCATGCAGCTGAGTTAAATTCTCTGCAGTGAGAGGCTGGTTTGTTAGCAGATCGGAACCTGTAAACACAAGAAGAGGAAGTGTATCAATGCAGATTGTAAATTAAACAAAACCACATAACAGAAGTTTTATTACTTATATCTCAACTAGAAGAAGACATCACAGAGGCATGCTATTTACATCTCAACTAGCAGATCACATCACAGAGGCTTGTCACTTACATCTCAACTAGCAGACCGCATCACAGAAGTTTGTCACTTACATCTCAACTAGCAGACCACATCACAGAGGTTTGACATCTTAACTAGCAGACCACATCATGATGTCACTTACATCTCTACTTGCAGGCCACATCATGATGTCACATCACAGAGGTTTGTCACTTACAATCTGAATTAGCAGGTTACATCATGATGGTGTGTCACTTACATCTCAACTAGCAGACCACATCATGATGTGTGTCACTTTCACCTCAACTAGCAGACCACATCATAGAGACTTGTCACTTACATCTCCACTAGCAGAGAACTAGCAGACCACATCATGATGTGTGTCACTTTCACCTCAACTAGCAGACCACATCATATAGGCTTGTCACATTCATCTCCACTAGCAGACCACATCATACAGGTTTGTCACTTACATCTCCACTAACAGACTACATCACAGAGGTTTGTCACTTTCACCTCAACTAGCAGACCACATCATTTAGGCTTGTCACATTCATCTCAACTAGCAGACCACATCATATAGGCTTGTCACATTCATCTCCACTAGCAGACCACATCATATAGGCTTGTCACTTTCATCTCCACTAGTAGACCACATCATTTAGGCTTGTCACTTTCATCTCCACTAGTAGACCACATCATTTAGGCTTGTCACTTTCATCTCCACTAGCCGACCACATCATATAGGTTGTCACATTCATCTCCACTAGTAGACCACATCATTTAGGCTTGTCACACCTCAACTAGCCGACCACATCATATAGGTTGTCACATTCATCTCCACTAGTAGACCACATCATTTAGGCTTGTCACACCTCAACTAGCAGATCACAACGTGATGGTGTGTCACATGCATATCTAGCAGATGAAAAGAATCATGTTCTCGACATCTTCACAAAGAGAGATTTGCCACTTACATCTCAACAAGCAGACCATATTGGCCTGTCACTAGTAATGAAACTATGCAATCTATGACACATTCACGACTGTAGCCTTTGACAAGTCACAGTAGTTTCAGGTCCCTACCTGGGTGGTCTGCAGCATCTTCATCCATCTTTGCTCTCTTGCAAGCTGATCCCTCAGAGTTGGTCTCTGCTCCCTCCCCTTGGTCTGGACCACTGGAGGAAACTTGTTTGTCACTCACAGTTTTCAGATCAAAGAACTGAAGCTTGCCCTTGTCAGTGCAGGCACACAGACGCTCAATACCTGTAACGTTTGAAGTATGTATAAAGTACTCTGGCAACTGCTGGTAAATGATGATGTCAAGAAGATCCACATAACAACTAGATGGTTCTTCTCCCAGGTAAGAAAACAAAAAATATATTAAGAGTTAAAGATATAGGAGCACCTTAATTATAACCAACACAACACAAGCAGATTATGATTGTAGAGTACTCTTTAAATCAACTCGATGTATGGTGTGTGGGTTTGAAGGTCCCTATCTGTATGTGTGTATAGGTTTAGGGAAATGGGGGGAGGGGGTGTTTAGACCCGCTGCCCCTTAATAAGCACACTGTAAAAGCTAGATCAGTGAGCTTCACAATATAACAAACTCAAACGAGAAGTGAGCATTGCAGCTTAACAGCCTTCATCAGCACATACATAAATCAATCAAAACCAAAGGAATATAAAAAAATCACATGAATATTTTAAGGATGATTGTTATATAAGCCCTACCCCAAATATAAGTCCTAGTTAAGATCATCAGCTAGATGGATGGATTTTGTTCAACCTTTGAAACATATAATGGAAATACTGAATGTATAATCACAAGCATAAATTTAGACGTTTGCACTAAAACAAAGGTAGATTTTTACAAACGAAAAAAAAAAGGCATCCTCTGAAAAATATGCCTTTTCAGAGCAAAAATTCATATGACTCCATCTTATTTTCAGGGAAACACAATGGTAACTTCTAACTGAATAACAAACAGGACATTGGAAGATGAACTGAGGTCCTTATAATTGTTGTGAACCTACAGACAGCTTTAAAAACAAAAATTCATCAATGAGACTGGAGTTCTAATGAGTAATTTTAAAACGCAATGAAGCTGATCTTTAAATCCAAATTCATCGAAGCATTAAAATAGCACTGTTACCCTGGAGGACTAAACAAGATATGTCATATTTCACTCAAAACTCCAAAGAAATTGGGTGTCTAGTGGATCAAGCAATGAAATACACCAGCTGCTGCAGTGGGGTGCTATCACCATTTGGAGGGGACAGGTTCGATTCTCACTGGGTGTTGAGTTGGTCTTTTGTCAAGGTACAACCTTTCATGCAGAAAGGCAGTGTGATAGGTCTGATACTCAATGGGTGTTGATTTGGTCATTTGTCAAAATACACCTGTTACCTGCAGAAAGGCACTGCCATCATTTGAAGGTGACAGGTCTGATTCAAAGCGTGGCAACAATATTTGTAAATGTTTATGTTGTCTAGTGTGTCCTCTTATCTGTACTTCTCTTATGCATCTATGAGTGACATTCAAAACCTGTCAATGAGTTTATCTTCAGAGAAGAGTAGTGCACCCACCTGAACAATATGTGGCACAGAGGTACTTCTCACTGGGTCCAGCACTTAGTTCTGCAACACAAGTCAGCTTGGCTAGAGATAGCACTCGGACTGTGCCACAAGCAGTGGTTGTAACAATGTGGCCGCTGATGCAGGTAGAGTCTGCACCTATGCTTCCATCTCTGATGTGGCTTCTCCCTAAGTGTTCGTCTACCTACAGAAGCATAAAACCATGATCATGAATTGTGGCTGTCTTATGACAGCATCTGTGACTTAGGGATTAGGAATGCAGTTTCAAAATTCAGACAAACCAGGGTTCAAAGTCAGCAGCAGGTGATTTAGCAATAGACCGTTATGAGAGAATGTCAACAATGGTATAAGCATCAAATCATTCAAAAAACAACAGCAAACTACTGAACTAAAAATTGTTGAGTAAAAATAAAAACAGCAAACAAATGTTGTGGTCAGTACATGGTCCTGAAAAGGATATGCAACTTACAAAACGTATGTATGCCATAAAACAACAGTCTATAACTTATTTATCACCTAGCCATAGTCGGCCTTAATAATTAGCACACACGTACAGTAACATAGCACCATGACTATCGTCAACCTGCAGTAGGACAGACAGCGCCATGACTATCGTCAAACTGTAGTAGGACAGACAGCGCCATGACCATGGTCAACCTGCAGTAGGATAGACAGTGCCATTACTATCACCAACCTACAGTAGGACATACAGCACCATGACTATCACCAACCTACAGTAGGACATACAGCACCATGACTATCACCAACCTACAGTAGGACATACAGCACAATGACTATCACCAACCTACAGTAGGACATACAGCACCCTGACTATCACCAACCTACAGTAAGACATACAGCACCCTGACTATCATCAACCTTACAGTGGGACAGACAGCACCCTGACTATCACCAACCTACAGTAAGACATACAGCACCCTGACTATCACCAACCTACAGTAGGATATACAGCACCATAACTATCACCAACCTACAGTAGGACATACAGCACAATGACTATCACAAACCTACAGTAGGACATACAGCACCCTGACTATCACCAACCTACAGTAGGACATACAGCACCCTGACTATCACCAACCTACAGTAGGATATACAGCACCCTGACTATCATCAACTTTACAGTGGGACAGACAGCACCCTGATTATCATCAACCTTACAGTGGGACAGACAGCACCCTGACTATCATCAACCTTACAGTGGGACAGACAGCACCATGACTATCACCAACCTATAGAGGGATATTCAACACCATGACTATCTTCAACCTATATTTGGACAGACAGCACCATGACTATCACCAACCTACAGTAGGGCATACAACACCATGACTATCTTCAACCTACAGTAGGACATACAGCACCATGACTATCACCAACCTACAGTAAGACGTACAGCACCATGACTATCATCATCCTACAGTTAAGCATACAGCACCATGACTATCATCAACCTACAGTTAAACATACAGCACCATGACTATCTTCAACCTACAGTAGGACATACAGCACCATGACTATCACCAACCTACAGTAAGACATACAGCACCATGACTATCACCAACCTATAGAAGAACATACAGCACCATGACTATCACCAACCTACAGTAAGACAAACAGCACCATGACTATCATCAACCTACAGTTAAACATACAGCACCATGACTATCACCAACCTACAGTAAAACAGACAGCACCATGACTATCACCAACCTAGAGTAAGACATACAGCACCATGACAATCACCAACCTACAGTAAAACAGACAGCACCATGACTAACTCCAACCTACAGTAGGACATACAGCACCATGACTATCATCAACCTACAGTTAAACATACAACACCATGACTATCTTCAACCTACAGTAGGACATACAGTACCATGACTATCACCAACCTACAGTAAGACATACAGCACCATGACTAATACCAACCTATAGAAGAACATACAGCACCATGACTATCACCAACCTACAGTAGGACATACAGTACCATGACTATCACCAACCTACAGTAAGACATACAGCACCATGACTATCATCAACCTACAGTAAGACGTACAGCACCATGACTATCACCAACCTACAGTAAGACATACAGCACCATGACTATCATCAACCTACAGTTAAACATACAGCACCATGACTATCACCAACCTACAGTAAAACAGACAGCACCATGACTATCACCAACCTACAGTAAGACATACAGCACCATGACTATCACCAACCTACAGTAAAACAGACAGCACCATAACTATCACCAACCTACAGTAGGACATACAGCACCATGACTATCATCAACCTGCAGTAAAACAGACAGCACCAGCCTACAGTAGGACATACAGCACCATGACTATCTTCAACCTATATTTAGACAGACAGCACCATGACTATCACCAACCTACAGTAAGACGTACAGCACCATGACTATCTTCAACCTACAGTAGGACATACAGCACCATGACTATCATCAACCTACAGTAAGACGTACAGCACCATGACTATCATCATCCTACAGTTAAACATACAGCACCAAGACTATCATCAACCTACAGTTAAACATACAGCACCATGACTATCACCAACCTACAGTAAGACATACAGCACCATGACTATCACCAACCTATAGAAGAACATACAGCACCATGACTATCACCAACCTACAGTAAGACATACAGCACCATGACTATCACCAACCTACAGTAAAACATACAGAACCATGACTATCACCAACCTACAGTAAAACAGACAGCACCATGACTATCACCAACCTACAGTAGGACATACAACACCATGACTATCATCAACCTACAGTAAGACATACAGCACCATGACTATCACCAACCTACAGTAAAACAGACAGCACTATTACTATCACCAACCTACAGTAAGACATACAGCACCATGACTATCATCCACTTGCAGTAAAACTGACAGCACCAGCCTACAGTAGGACATACAGCACCATGACTATCACCAACCTACAGTGGGATATTCAACACTATGACTTTCTTCAACCTTAGCGTCATTGACTATGGTCTTGCCCTCCTCACTGTCAGCAAATCCCAGCTAGAAAGACTGGACCGAGTACAAAAATGAGGTCATGAGACTCATACTCGGCTGCACAAAAGACACTTTCTGCAACGCCATGCGTTATGTCCTGGGTTTGCCGACGATGACTAGCAGATACAAAGTGGCACAGGTCAAGGCTTACATGAGGGTATCGGCAGAAGTTAACCACCCATTGCACAAAGCTATACACATCACAAAAGGAACGCGTCTCAAAAGAGGCCGCTCTTGGATGGCAAAGGCTGAAGATTTAATCCAGCAGGTATGTGACCTAGACGTGATCAGTCATGGAAAAGAATGTACGAATACACCAGTAGACATGCATGGCATCTCTAAGGTTGTCATCACACTCGGAAGGTACTGCAGGGATCAAATTCCTGCGGCCGTTGACACAGAAGTAAGGAAACTGATAGATCAGCATTCAGACCCAGAAGATATCATCATCTTCACAGATGGATCCGTGAAGCGCGGATCAAGGTCAGCATGGGCATACACAGCGCAAAGAATGGGGAAAACAATACATGAGGACAGCGGCGCTTATCAGACAACCACGTCAAGCATGATAATGGAAATAGCAGCTGCTTCTAGAGCTTTAGCATGGGTATCTGAGCAAACTGCCACACAGGCAGTAATTATCTCAGACTAAATGAATATGCTTCAGAAGACAGCAACAGGCAGTAAGCCCTCTGAATGGATAGAAAGCATTCGGAAATCGCACTTAACCTCGGTAACCTGGATCTACAAACCGGGTCATGCGGGCGTAAAGGGAAATAAGCGAGCGGACCAACTGGCAAGCACTGCACCAATGATTGCGGGAAAAAGCATGGACAGAGCAGATATCGTCAACGCTGTACGAACTGGGCTAGTGGAGAATAAGGAATCCCTGACACTAACACGATTGCTTGACATGGGAGTTAAGCATGGTGATGCACGTCTTTGCCGTCTTCAGGGCCGAGAACCAGCTTCTCATGGGGACAATTAGTAGAAGTACTTTGGAGTGGCTGCTACTTCCGAGAACTGAGCTCGCATGGGTATGCCCAATGTGCAGTGACATCAAGTGTGATAACAAAACATAAAATAACATCTTGTAGGGAGTCGGCAGTCCGAAACCCAAGTTCAAGGTGTCGCCTTCGTGCCAAAGAACTGCATGGCTGTTGGGTGAACAGTCGTTAACGAAGGCAGGCAGGTCGTTGTAGGGGCGACGCCTGCTGGTGGATGTAATGTCCTAAGTCCCTTCCCCAGCTAATAATGAGGGTACTGCTGGGGTGACCGTTTATTAACCCTCATATAATGCTTCAGGTCAAAATGGACGCTAGGCACGGCCACTTTTTTTTTTCCTGCCAGACGGTGGCCGTTGCATTTTTGCTCCATTTTTAGACTGGAAGGATATAGTTTCGTCGCCCAGCTTCTGAGCTGAGTGCATAGCGTGACACTGTGAGCTACGTGTGTTTTTCGTTGGCACAGGAGCGGAGCAACTATTTGGTGACCCATTTGCTATGAAGCTGAAACTAGGATAGGATTACCAGATCTTCAACCTACATTTGGACAGACAGCACCCTGACTATCACCAACCTACAGTAGGACATACAACACCATGACTATCATCAACCTTACAGTAGGACATACAGCACCCTGACTATCACCAACCTACAGTAGGACATACAACACCATGACTATCTTCATCCTACAGTAGGACATACAGCACTTTGACTATCACCAACCTACAAGTAGGTCAGACAACACTTTGACTATCGTCAACATACAGTAGGACAGACAGCGCCTTCTTCTTCTTCTTTCGTTTATAAGTTGTCTAAATCAGCAGTTTTGTCTCTTGTATAAATTTCACTGTCATTGTTAGTTTATTCAGTGGTACATAGAGTTTATGTTCCACTGTTTTTCTTTTTGGCCAAAAGGTTTGACTTAATATGTCAAATTCAGTGCAATCCTGGAGTGCATGCTCTGCAGTCTAGGGCACCTTTCCACAGGTGCACATGGCTGATACGCCTATCTTGAATCATGTGTACATGTGTTTACGTAATCGGTTGTGCCCTGTTCTGAGGTGGAGGATAATGACTAGTTCTGGTCAGTCCATAATAAAATAGCTGTCTTGTGCTGCGGCTGGTGGTTTCCTGATCGATTTAATGATTTTTTTTTTCATTGGTAGTATGTGACTGGTACATCCGGCTGCACTTTTGTTGCAACTTCCCCTGTCAGTTGATCAGCTTTCTCATTTCCAGGCACTCCAAAATGAGAGGGTATCCACTGCATTACGACTCTTTCCTGAAGGCTGAGTTGTGTCAGCAGTGTTTGCAATTCTGGTAGTTTCCTAGTACTGATTTAGCATCTGTCAGCATTACCACATAATGTGAGCCAAGATTGGTATTTAGCAGTTTCTCTGTTGCTATCTTGATAGCCTGAGTTTCTGCATCATAGTTATGGCAGTACTTCCCGGTTGGTATGCTGTACTTATCCCTAGTACCATCTAATTGCACCTTGTGCGGACCCATCTGTATAGACTATGAGACATTGTTCTTGGTGGTATTCTTCATCAATATAACTTAGGGTAGCCATTCTGCGTTGTACACTATCTTGCTCTTTCTGGTCAAATATCCTTTTCACATTTGTCTGGATTTGTACTGTTAGTTTGCAGTTTTCTCTCCATGATGTTTGTTCCGGAATACTTTTAAGTGGGCAACAAATTTCTGGAAGGTCAGTAGTTTGTCTACATATTTTTTTTGCTTGGTGTGTAAAGACAGCGCCTTGACTTTCGTCAACCTACAATTAGAACAGACAGCACTATGACTATCGTCAACCTACAGTAGGACAGACAGTGCCATTACTATCATCAACCTGCAGTAGGGCAGGCAGACAGTAGGACAGACAGCGCCTTGACTATTGTCAACCTACAGTAGGACAGATAGCACCATGACTATTGTCAACCTGTAGTAGGACAGATAGCATCATGACTATTGTCAGCCTGCAGTAGGACAGACAGCATCATGACTATTGTCAACCTGTAGTAGGACAGATAGCACCATGACTATTGTCAAACTGCAGTAGGAGAGATAGCATCATGACTATTGTCAACATGCAGTAGGACAGATAGCATCATGACTATTGTCAGCCTGCAGTAGGACAGATAGCACCACGACTATTGTCAGCCTGCAGTAGGACAGATAGCACCACGACTATTGTCAGCCTGCAGTAGGACAGATAGCATCATGACTATTGTCAGCCTGCAGTAGGACAGATAGCATCATGACTATTGTCAGCCTGCAGTAGGACAGATAGCATCATGACTATTGTCAGCCTGCAGTAGGACAGATAGCATCATGACTATTGTCAACCTGCAGTAGGACAGATAGCATCATGACTATTGTCAACCTGTAGTAGGACAGATAGTACCATGACTATTGTCAACCTGCAGTAGGACAGAAAGCATCATGACTATTGTCAACATGCAGTAGGACAGATAGCACCATGACTATTGTCAACCTGCAGTAGGACAGATAGCACAATGTCTATTGTCAGCCTGCAGTAGGACAGATAGCACCATGACTATTGTCAACCTGTAGTAGGACCGATAGCATCATGACTATTGTCAGCCTGCAGTAGGACAGATAGCACCATGTCTATTGTCAATCTGCAGTAGGACAGACAGTGTAGATGATGATATCTTCTGGGTCAGAATGCTGATCTATCAGTTCCCTTACTTCTGTGTCTACGGCCGCAGTAATCTGATCCCTGCAGTACCTCCTGAGTGTGATGACAACCTTGGAGATGCCTTGCATGTCTAATGGTGTATTCATCCATTTTTTCAATGACTGATCACGTCTAGGTCACATACCTGCTGGATTAAATCCTAAGCCTTTTCCATCCAAGAGCGGCCTCTTTTGAGACGCGTTCCCCTTGTGTCATGTATAGCTTTGTGCAGTGGGTGGTTAACGTCTGCCGATACCCTCATGTACGCCTTGACCTGTGCCACTTTGTATCTGCTAGTTATCGTCAGCAAAACTAGGACATAACGCATGGCGTTGCAGGAGGTGTCTTTTGTGCGGCCGAGTATGAGTCTCATGGCCTCATTTTGAACTAGGTCCAGTCTTTCAAGCTGTGTTTTGCTGACAGTGAGGAGGTCAAGACCATAGTCAATGAAGCTTAATACAAGCCCTTGACAGAGAAGGAAAAGAAGCATTGTTCAATATCAGCTGCTGCTAGCACCTTGAGTGCTCTCAGACCTTTCCTGGCTCTAAGTATGACGTCTACGTGGCATTTGTATGACAAGCATCTGTCAAATGTCATGCCCAGATATTTCATGGTGTCTGTTCTCTCAATGTCCACACCACACATGCTTACAACTAGCGTTGGTGTACTGACGATATGGGTATTCAGAGAGAATCATGTTGAGGCGGCTTTGGACAGATTCACTTGAGCTCTTGATTCCTGGCACCACTCACTCAAATGGATTCAGTTAGCAACATTAATGAAGGTTTGAAATTAATCACCTTGGTAATGCAGTGGCTAGATGCCAGCTTGCCAGCCCGAAGTTTCGGGTTTAAATCTACACTACATTAGATTTTTAAAGTTTTTGTCCCTGGCTTTAGCGAGGACTATGTCTAAAGTGGGTATGGAAATATGTCCCAATGATGTTGACCATATCACCTATCAAGTGCTGAATTGCCTGTAAAATTATGGGTCTAGCATCATATGCCTGTGCACCACTGGTGTGAAAGTGTCATGTAACAGAGCCAAAAAATAATCAGAAACAGAAACACGGGAAAACCACCACTGTATTTTTTTTTCCTTCGTAATAATGCTTCTCTGCCAAACAGATTCAGTTAACTGACATTGCTGGAGGTTCCAATGGAACTGTCTCCTTCACTAGATTGCAAAATGGATTAAGAACACTTTTACAGAATCAATAGTTGGAGAACATCAAGAATAAAATGGCCATATTATATATAATTTTTATAAAATATATGCCATATATAATATATGTAAATTATATGCCATTTAAAATATAAAGTAAAGGACCAATTTATGGCAGTGGTACATGTGTAACCATGACACTGGGCTACAACCCGGTATCAGTGAGACGAGAAAAGAAGAAAAAGAAGGTACATAGGCAACCACGACTCTGGGCTACAATCTGGTATCAGTGAGATGACAAAAGAAAAATGTACCCAGGCAAACAAAACACTGGGCTTCATAGGACATTACCTGGTACCCATTTAAGGCTGTGTTAACCTGGGAGCCAAGGGCAAATATAAATAAATCTTTTCCTGTGCTGACTGAAACCCAAGACTGTTAGTCCAACAGGCAAGTGTCTAGCCAAGGTGCTACTTTGGTCCACATCAATCAATATATTAGGTATAATGAAATTTGATTGGCCAAGTGGGTGGAACATATTTAAACATAAAAATCTCATCATAGAAATCAAACCCTTGTGAACTGAAGATTGTGAAATGTGTTCATTAACCTCTTGACCACAAAGCCAAAGAGCTTTAGTGAAACTCCTCAGCAAACCTCCGGATATCATAAGAGTGCAGGTTTATGTACCAAAAGCAGTAGTACAGTAAAAGACACATTTTATTACATAGACAGGGTTTTGGACCACTGGGGAAGATATAGTGAAAGCATTATGCAACAGCAAAGGATAAAACAGCTTTGGTGCCATTTGGTTGAGGGCCTTTTGCTTCACTGAGAGATAGAGGGCAGGAGAACAGTCTCTCAATCATTTAAAACTGAGAGAGAGAGAGAGAGAGAGAGAGAGAGAGAGAGAGAGAGAGATGCGCACACGAGGCATGTTTTTTAAGTAAGTCGCAATATCAAATTAAAAAACAACCATCATATATAAAAATGATTTATTGAAGCCAAAATTAAACCACACATTTAGATTATTTCTCAACAGTCACCACTGAATTCAACACATTTTTGGTATCGTGGCACCAGGTTCTCAACTCCAATATCATTCATTCATTAACGCCTGTCTGCAGCTGAAACCACTAGGATGCCAGTCACTTCTTTAGGTGTACGAAAAGGTGGTAATAGCTTAGTGCCAGAACGGTGCTGTAGGGCGCGTGGTCAACTATTTTTCAGTGAAATGTTTGCAACAAGTGAACAGTTCTATCTGTGACGTGAGGTTGAGCATTATTGTGCTAAAGCACAATTACAGAGGACAGCAACCCATGTCTTTTGTTTTGGAAGGCACACAGGTTTTTTTTTTGTATTGAAGATTTCTTGACACAATGTTGCCATTCAGTGAATGTGAAACTTCTGTAAATTCCAGAAACTGTGAAATTATGATTTTTCTGAATTTTCTGGTTCACTTCTTCCGACAACTACGATCTTTATTATAGATATTTGTTTGCCCTTCTTTAAACATTCAACACCATTTCCCTAACCATGCTATCAGTCATAACATCTTACCCATAAACCTCAATGAACTGCTTGTGAATTTCTGCAGTACTGTTGTTTTTTATATAACAAAATGGATCACAGCATGAACCTCGCAGCTGGCGGGAGTATTTATTTTTGGACTCATTATAAATCACTCACACGCAGCATCAAACAAGATTTCCACAGTTAAACAATAGCATTTAGCTAGCTAATGAACCACCTAAACATACTGAATATTTACGTTTTCCATTGGTGTTTGTTATTGCGGTAAAAACGGGACTTACTTAAAAAAATGTGCCTCATATATACATATACACATATCACAGCACAACAATGCTTAGGTTAAACATGGATAACTCACCTGATCTTCGACCTCTGCAGGCAGCAAGAAAGTGCTGGTGATCACATCTCTTGGAGAGTTCACTTGATATATCACTGATGGCTCATCATCCAAAATTATCCTGTTGTTCTCACTGCGCAAGCGGAATACTAGAATCCCACCACCACAGAAGGTGTCCGCTGAAGCACTGCCTCTGTTTGTGGGAGATGCCTCAGCGTCTGACGTTGAAATTTCCAGATACCCAGCTTTGGTGGAAAGGATCACTATCACATGCTGCTTGTCACTGGAAGGCAAGATAGACTGAATCTCTATATGCTCCTTCTGGAATCGGCAAGGAAGCTCCACACACTGAATCACAGTACCTGAAATTGTAGGGGTCTCTTTTTTCAGAGAGCCATTGGCATTGCCAACGTTGATGAAAGAATGAGCACTAGAATCACTGGAACTTGTGGTATATGATGAAAAACTTTGTAGCTTTACAGACGCTGAGGATTCTGCATCAGCAAATGTGAACGGTTTCAGGGGAGAATATGGTTCTGTAACCGATGAGTCTAAACTATCACAGACATCACTAGGTCCATTGGGAATATTGGATTTACTCAAGTCTTTTATATGCTTTGATTCATTAGAGTGGCTGACCAACGTGCTGGTGAATGGACTGGAATTTTTCAGAGGAGCTGGGGTAAAACCAATGTACTGGCAATCCTCCCAAGGTGCCCATTCATCAGTGTCATTAGTGAGAGCACTAGGAGATGCGACCAACTCATCTTTACTTATTGGTGGCTTGACGACCTGAGGTGAGGACGGCATTTTCTTTTTGCCTGGACTCAAATGGCTTGAGGTACGAGCTTCTTCCACCAAGGAAACCACAACAATGTAAGGAATAAACTGACTTTCTGGTATGACAAAGTGAGAGTCTGAATAATGCCCGTCTATCAGCCTGGATATGGAAGGCTCGCTGCTGACTGCTTCATTCACTTCATTCATCAGCTGCACAGTCAAATTACTGCTCTTACCACTACAGCTGCCTCGTGTCAAATAATGGTTGCCCTCTTCTGGCTGCTGAAACTTGGTTTGCCGCAGGGTCATGCCACATATCAGAGAGAGCTGAACATCACTGGCAGAGGATGCCTTGGTCGGGTTTGATATTGTCACTTCTTCCTGCCACTTTGCATGATCAGCCACACACAATGAGGTCACTATAAAGTCATCTGAAGGACGATGTGAGCCAATACATGACTGCTTTTCTGTTGGGAGGAAAATATTGTGTCTTTATAATTATTTCCATTTCTAGAAAGACAGACATAATATGAGGGATGGTCATTAATGTAATATAGGAAGAGAGAGAATTAACAAGACATGAGTCATGCGTTTGATGGACCATGTGAAAGCTCCCAACACCATAGTGACCATTTATCCCACCTTCAGTATTCCACCAGCTTTGATAAAACTCTATTACATGATGTCTGTTAATTCCAAGAGAACAAAATAATCATATTCCATGATGATATTCCTTAACTTATTGAATTCTTAGATATCCTATATTTTACTGATGTCCATATTTATGTTTTCTCCTGAGATTGAGTTCTTTCAGTCCTATGTCGATGCTACTCTTATTCTGTTCATCCTATGAAGTTATCAGCAGGACCCTTTTTACACCAGATGCCAATCAGGCACATGATGCTAGAGTCTATTTTTATAGACCAATCGTCATTAGATGAGAGATGTGATCAACATCTCACCGACTGTCTTTACATGATAGATGTGGTCAAGATCTCACTGATTGTCTTTACATGAGAGATGTGATCAACATCTCACTGATTGTCTTTACATGAGAGATAAGGGTCTTTACATGAGAGATGTGGTCAACATCTCACCGATTGTCTTTACATGAGAGATGTGGTCAAGATCTCACCGATTGTCTTTACATGAGAGATGTGATCAACATCTCACTGATTGTCTTTACATGAGAGATAAGGGTCTTTACATGAGAGATGTGGTCAACATCTCACCCATTGTCTTTACATGAGAGATGTGGTCAACATCTCACTGATTGTCTTTACATGAGAGATGTGGTCAACATCTCACTGACTGTCTTTACAAGAGAGATGTGGTCAACATCTCACCAATTGTCTTTACATGAGAGATGTGGTCAACATCTCACTGATTGTCTTTACATGAGAGATGTGGTCAACATCTCACTGATTGTCTTTACATGAGAGATGTGGTCAACATCTCACTGATTGTCTTTACATGAGAGATGTGGTCAACATCTCACTGATTGTCTTTACATGAGAGATGTGGTCAACATCTCACTGATTGTCTTTACATGAGAGATAAGGTCAAAATCTCACCGATTGTCTTTAGATGAGAGATGTGGTCAACATCTCACTGATTGTCTTTACATGAGAGATGTGGTCAACATCTCACCAATTGTCTTTACATGAGAAATGTGGTCAACATCTCACTGATTGTCTTTACATGAGATAAGGTCAACATCTCACTGATTGTCTTTACATGAGAGATAAGGTCAACATCTTACTGATTGTCTTTACAAGAGAGATGTGGTCAACATCTCACTGATAGTCATTAGTTCCCAGGAGACTAGCAGCTACCCATTTAAGGCTAGTTCAACTTGTGAGCCAAATCAAGTTATTACTTCTTTTACTCTTTTTACTTTATTAAAGTTGTTACTCCAAACTCACTATAGTTTTCTCTGCATCACATCATATTTCTTCATAAAGCATCCCAATTCAGTTGGTTAAGTTGTTTTTCTGGTCTTTTCTAACTTGATAATGACAGGTTGGATATTTAAGCTACAATTTTTACAAGGAAAAGGTAGCTAACCATCCTGAGTAACCTCTTATGACATGAATAGTGAGTTAGTGTTGTTATTCCTTGCTTCTATTTTGGATTCCAATAACATGGCGATATGTCACCTAACTGTAGCTAATTATAATTTTAACGTTACATATTCTGTCTCCAAAATATGTAGATGGTAATGTTAACTTTCTCCATGTCCATTCTTTCCATACCTATTATTATGTCCACGTCAACCATACACTACTATTCTTTTTTACTGACAATGCTACCTAGTAGGAACCAGCAATCTTGTAGTAGTATTGTGCAAAGTTACTCATACACAACAAATTACTGAAATTAAAAAAATGTGATCTTTCAAAGTACTATGTGCTACTATTAAAATGTTTTATTAGATCATGTACAAACAAAAGAAGAAACACCGTAATTAAAACTACCAGCAAACATTTTACCTTCTTTTGACTTGTCATGAAGGGGTATATCCTGCATGTCTTCCTCGACAAGCGACTCCACTTTCTGCCCTGCTTCCTTCCTGTAACAAGCAGTTTCTGTCTTTAACACCAGGTACATGAACAGATACATAATAGTTAGCTCTAAAACATTTCATAGCGCTTAGCCTTGGACCGTCAGTTAAACAGTGAAATGTCTCCTTTTATACCCAAACAGAGTCTGTGCATGGATTATGGGGGCCTCGTTTGGGGATGGGGAGAAAGATTAGACCCCTTGCACTATAACAAGCAAGTCATAAAAGGTGAATAATTAGTGGTGTTTCCTTCAAAGCTGGAGTACATAAGAACCAACAGTCTGCATATAAATGATGCCAGATTTGTAAAGCAGATGTGCCAGCAACACCCAAGTCCTGGAACAGGACCAAAGAAAAGAAGTGGGCAAACAAGGAGAGCTTTCCATCAGAGCTTACAGACAGGATGTTGAGAAGAAGATACACAACATAACAGAGTTTTATCTAAGTTTTCTTTTCTGAAATTGCCACACACTAGTTTATAATCACAAATAGTGCAAAAAACACATGGCGTGTTACCTGAAGTTACTGTCTGTTTAAACAGTCAGTTGAAAAAAAAATATTGGTGTTCTAAACAGTCTGCTAAAAAAAACCTGCCACCATAAGTCAAAAATCCCAATCCAGTATCCTGATATCAACCATCATCATCATGTGCCCTGGGGTAGGCGCTCATGCGTCTCCACAGATCATGATCCCTGGTTGCCTGGAACAGCTCTCTTGATGATATCCCTCCATGCAATCATTTCAGCCATTCCAGCACTATCTCTCTTGGTCTGCCTCTACCACTTTTTCCACTGACCCTTCCAGTTGTCACGATGTTCTCCAATGTCTCTCTTCTCATCATGTGGTTAAAGAACAGTGTTTGCCTCCTTCTCATTGTTGTATATAGAGATCTATTTTCATTAGCGTCTTTCAAGCAATAGTTGTTAGTTACTCTGGCCGTCCAAAGTATTCGTAACATTGGTCTCAGAAACCACATCTCTGTTGCTGCCAAATTCTTCCTAATTTGTTCACTGACATTCCAAGATTCGCTGCCATACAGTAGAACAGGTTCTGTGTAACATTTTAGCACCCTCTTTCTGACATTAAATGAGAGCGATTAACTGCATAAGATATTTTTCATTTTCTGAAATGCAGCTTTCGATTGACCTATTCTGCTTTTAATCTCTGTCACATATTTTCCATCTGATGACGTGATTGTTCCGATACCAATGTGCACATTAAATCCAGCATTTTAAAAAAAATGTGTACACACAATAGCAATATCATAAAATCAACATGTACACACAAATTCTATATTCTAAAATTTGTGGACAAGCAACAACAAAATATTCACTTTTCTACAATCAATAAGTATGTTGTGTAAAAAATGGGACGTTGAAATTCGATGGCTAATTAAAGTCTCATCAGTTCACTTTATAATTTCAGTTTTTCTCCTTAAATTTCAAACAATACATAACAAAAACAATATATTTACATTTCTCTTCACAAATACTTCAAAAAACTAAAGTCCTGACCTGCCCTGCCATAACATAAAATTTGTAAGCTGCATTTCTGTGTCTTGAAATATCACTAGTGTCCTCCCTAATATGATCTTCTGCCCAGAGCATTTAATAATGAAGACATGATAATGAACAATAACTTACTCTGAAGTCACTTTGTGGTGTGAACTGTCCATTCGTTCAATCTGCAAGCCCGTTTTCAAAGCAACCAGTGCATTTGTAACATCGATATCAAACTGACAGTGTTTCTGAAATAAACAAAACAAATAAGCAATACAGAATAGAAAACATAAATGTCAGTGAGCACAGATGAACAATACAGCCATATCTAACAGCAATGGTGACTTCATGGTGAGTGAGGTTACCTATTAACCTTTCCGCCCCAAAAAAAACAAAAAAAGCGATTCTTCCAGTTAGGTCAAGTATCGGATTAAATTCACGTTTCCAACCTGCCTAACATGACCTGTTTACAAGATGTACAATTAATGCAACTGGCTGAGTTTGCATTTGTGCAAATGTTTAGGAGGTCAAGATTTGAATAAATGAAATAACAACCACATTTAAAGGGGTTTCCTTGCTGCTAAATTGCTTTTGTAAAGTCAAGATGAGGTCAGATTTTCTCTCAAGCCTAATAGGTAGAAGTCATGGGGTTGTGGCATGAGCCACCTGATACATGTGTATTTCTTAGGCTCCGAGAAAGGGAAGTGAGTGTATTCAATTTAATGCTTCACCCCGCCTTAGTTCTTTAATTACTCCCTTCATACATCTTTGTGTATTTAAAAAAAAAATTATTTTAAAATGTTTAACGAATGTATGAGTGACCTGTGTAAAAAAAAAAAATTGTTGTTAACTGATTTTTTCAGGAATCCTAAAATCCTCTGAAGACCATAACATTTTACTTTAAACATAAACAATCTAATTTTTTTTCATGAAAAATAACTCACCAAATGACACAAATTATAACAAAAAAATATACAGCAAAAACAAATAATGCACAACCACAATTCAGGCTGATAATCAACTAGCTTTGCTTGGAAAAGCAGCATATATCACTCTAAAGGCAATAATCAGTTATACAAGGTTCAACAATTAATTTTAATAATAAACTGATTTTATTATGGTCAAGACAAAAATGCCATCTATGAAGCAAAGCATGGAATCCAAAAATACAACTTTCAAAATCTATAATCTGGCAACTTTTCATCACTGCCTGATAAGCAGACAACAAGCCGCCATTTTGTTCACCTAGTCATAGGTGCACTGTTACATAATCAGCATGCAGCAAAAAGCTAACATTAAATTCTGTTTAAAACTCAGAAAAAGCGTCACTGAGACAACTGAACCGACGCAACATGTTTATGGGGATAATTGTTTATCTTGTGCAAAGATTTTCAGATTGTATTCACAATTCAAAATTGGTGTGGAAATGATTAATAATGCAAATAGACCTGGACGCCCAATTTCTGTTCATAATGAGGAAAACATTGCAAAAGGCAGAAAACGGATACAAGAAGATCGTTGTTTGAATATGAGGATGATGGCAGATAAATATGGTGTTAATAGAGAGACCATTCATAAAAATTTAGTCTAAGATTTGAAAAGAAAAATTTTGCTTGCCGGTTTGTACCACATTCATTGTCTGATGACCAAAAACATCCGCATGTTGAGTACACAAAAGACAACCTCAAAACGTGTCACAGAAATAAACATTTCTTGAATCTGATATTTTCAGACGATGAAACATATATTTTTCATTACGATTCCACAACTTAAAGCCAAAGTTCTCAGCGGAAGTCATCATCATCAACAAAAAGGAAAAATATGTCCTCAAAAGTTGAAAGTGAAGCTAATGTTGGTGTGCTTCTATAATAGTTATTCACAAAGAATTTATTCCAGAGAGACAGACTGTCACAGCTACAGTTTATTTAAGTGTTTTGAAATATCTAATGAAAAGGATTCTTTAAGTCCGATCCGAGTATTCAAGACCTGGCAGTTTTCCCTTCTTTATGACAATGCACTGGCTCACCGAGCGGTGGTTGTACAGGGCTTTTTTGGCCCAAAAATAAGTGTGTGTTCTCAACCATCCACCCTATTTCCCAGATTTTTCTCCCTGTGATTATTTTCTATTCCCAAAATTAAAGTTACCATTGAAAGGACGCTTCTTTGACGATACTGAAGACACCCAAAATGCCACAACATTGACTTTAAGGGCCATGACAGAAGAAGAACTACAGAGGTCATTTCAGTGTTTGCTGTATCAATGCATAAGAGGCTTAATTTTTAATAAAATATAAGTTCTATCTTCTGTTGATTGTTTTAATTTTTATGGTATTAGTCTCATTACTTAATTGTTGGATATTGTATGCCACTATAAATGCAGACTTTCCCAGACAAAGCACTATTTCAGTCTATATCATTGAAGAAGCTCAAGAAGTTAAAGGTAAAAAAGGTAGGTAAAAAATTTAAATTTCAACATCACAACTGCCCACACCAAATTTCTTCCTGAACAATGAAGTATGCAATTACCTTGAGAACATGGCTCAAATCCCACACAACTATGTTGCCATCTCTTGTAGAAGTAGCTATGAAGTCCTCGTTGAATGTTGTACTCAAGCATGCTATCTTCTGAAAAAAAGAAAGAAACCAGTTACATAGTTTATCTATGGAGAAATAGTGAATGCCCCTAATGCAGTCCTCTTTTGAAAGTATTAACAAATCAACAAATTTATACCAACATTCTGTTACGCTATATATTATTCTTCTTTCACTAGCTGTAGTGTCCAGCGAAAAGTTTATGTACCTCTTGACTTTATCTTGTTCCAGAACCTGAGTGCTGCATACAAACCAGTTTAACAGATCTGATTAGTCTGTATGCAGACTGTTGGTTTCTTGCCTCTCAGGCAGCTGCACTGCAATTTTAAACAAAGCCTCTAATTAGTCTACTCTAAATGGCATGCTTTTTGGGGTGGCAGTGAGTCTATTCTTGTCTTGGATTGGGGGAGGGGGGGGGGGGGGGGGGTGGGGGGGGGGGCGAAATGTTCTTTACTGGATACCATGAGGAAGGAAATGGGCGAGAGAAGATACAGGTGAAAATAACTCTCTCGGCACTGTCTATACCCCATCCCGTAAAGCAAACAATGAGATCGTGATCTGTATATCGCATGCCAGCTGACAGATTACCTGCACACATTTAAGAGGCAGTAAATGACAATCTTGCCAGCGAGCAATTAACCCGCTGTTTACCAATGATCAGTACAATGTAACCACTAAGGGTAACTGCAAAAAGCCAGACTGCCGAAAATCACATAAAATTCTCCTTTTGTTATCTGTTTCCAGATTAGGGTGGGTAAAGTTCAAGGATTTTTAATCCGTTTAAAAAAGAATCATAAGATTTTTCAAGACCTTGAGAGGAATCTTGCAGTTCTTCCAGGTTTCAAGGTCTTCTCCAAACCCTGTATTAAAAGTTGCTGATGCATCACCAATGTGTGTCATAATTTCTTTCTTTGTTATCAAACATAAAACCTAAATGAGTAAACTGATCTGCTATTCAGTTACTTTTGTCTCTAGTGTTACATCTGCTTGATCTGTTTTTTTATAACTTATCTCCAGTCCAACCTTTGATGCTTTATTTGCTAAAACATGTTTTTCTGTGCATGTTATTGCTGTTTTTAACTTAGCAGAACTATATCATCAGCAAAATCAAGATCTTTCAACTGTGTGTTCTCCACCCAATCAATACCAGTGTTCCCAACACAATATTTTTTCATCACCCGGTCAATGGTTAGGCAAAATAATAGAGGAGATCAAATGCATTACAATTTCATTCTATTAACAACTTTAAACTTTATTGTCTCTACAGGAGAGGAATGTTTTCAGTGACAGTTGTATCCACTTGGCTAGTACAAGTAAGGGCTAAAGGTCTCCACAGCAAAGTTGTTAAGACAGCTTTGTGCTTGCTCTACAGGCTGTGTGTTTTGATTTCAGAATTCATACTTCCATCTTAAAGTGAAAGTGTTTTGGAGATCATCAGGGATGGAAATTTTTAAAAAAAAAAGGGGGGAAAAGGGGGGGGGGGGGGGGGGGGGGGGGGGGACACACTGCTGTGGCTATGGAGTTTGTATTGTGTACAATACTCTCATTGGGGACCAGATGTTATGTGAATTGACTGAGCCACACCGGATAAAAACTAGACAAAATAAATGAAGTCGATACTTTAAACACCTTTTTAATTAAAAGTAAATAAAGTTAAAATCAAGTTGATCGACTTTACCGCACTGGGCCATAAGCTCCGTCTCTCTCCCTCTCTCTCTGCACAACAGTTGGCCGCCTATCAACAGTGTCACACAAAGCACGTATCCATGGAATGTCCAGGAATCTCCGTAAAAACTTCACTTGTAAAATGAACCCTTTAGCCATGAAACGAACCCACCACCTTTAGAGCACGAAGCAAACAAGTGGACCACTTAGCCATGTACATCCCCCCCAACCCGAATAAGGGAAGCCAATTCTATGCTCTACATGGAGGCTAGCATGCTCACCTGCTGGGGAGATTCTCCGTGAAACTGTGCTGGCTGAGTTGCATATGTAACAGTGAGTGGAACATTCTGTGTGTAATCCCCTTTGATATATGGACACAGCTGTGAGTGACGCTCATGTTCAGACCTGCAAAAACATTTTGTAGGTGTCTAAATATTGTATGATTTCTGAGTCAAACGGATCATGGGAACATCAATTCTTGAAGCACATAACAGGTTCTAAAAGTCATATGTAGAGAGTCATATTTTTTTCTTAGTTGCGTATCCTTTACAGGACGTTGCAGAACTAACCCCAGTATTTTTTGGCTGTTGTGGTTTTCTAGGCAAATTTATGTCCAGTAGTTTGCCATTGCTTTCTGGATGGTCGGTTTCTCGATACCAGTCAAAACCAAGGCAAGGCCCGCAGCTGGGATCAAACCAAGCACCCCAGCATTACGAAGCGAGTTCGCAACACCTAAGTCAGAGACGCTGACAGAGAGTCATATAGCACGAAACAAATTAAAATATGTTGCAGCAACTGAAAAATATAACAGGAAAAGAGCACAAGGAAAACATAAATAAATTAGTCATTGTTCATATTAGGAACAAGATCACAGACTGAATCTAAGACTTTGGAGAGCTTGTGACATGATAAGCATTGTTGTCTATGCTACTGGCACAAGACAGGATGATGATGATCATGATCAAATAATACACTGTTACTGCAATTCTACTGAATCATAATAATTTAAATTGCATATCTTTATTTTCTTCATTCGCTTTTAAAAGGGTGGCTAGCATGCTGTATTGTGGTTTAAAGCTAAGCGGTGATATCTGTGCCTCTGGACCAAAAGACATCTAATTTCAGCAAGTCCTTAATTGGCCACCTTTTAGGATATGCTTGTTGAGGGACAGTTGGTCCCTCTCCCTCCTCCCCCCCCCCCCCCAACACACAAAAACTGGGGTCCCTAAACACATATGGGGATAACTACTGCATAGGAAGCACAACATTTGAGGTTAGTGACCAAAATTTGCCAGCAGTGCAGCGACTTTTGTGTCTTCTTTTTCAGGTTCACCAGTTGCAAACTCGGGCGGAAGGTTCTGGTTGTTCATCCACTTCTGGACTTCAGTTTTGTTCCAGTACTTAATTTTGCATGCACATCCATTTTACAGACCTGGCTTATTTGTTATGCAGGCTGTTGGTTCCTTGCCTCTCAGGCAGATGCACTCTGACTCTGAAGGAAACTCTAATTAGTCAACTCTTATGACATGCTTTGCTTGGAAAGGCAGCACATATCACTCTAAAGGTAATAATCAGTTATACAAGGTTCAACAATTAATTTTAATAATAAACTGATTTTATTATGGTCAAGACAAAAATGTAGGGTTAGGGAGGCAGCGGGTCTATCCCCCCCCCCCCTCCCCCAATAGGGTCTACTTGATCAATCCCTAAAGAACAATAATGTCTAGTAGAGATAAGAATACCACAGTACATACCAAGGTTCATCTGTGGGCTCCCAACACACCAAGCACACATTACACGTGAAACACATTGCCCTATCATCTCCATGCAAATTCGGGTGGTGAAAGAAACCTGCCTGTGCCATAGGTTCTGGCAATGCCCACCTGAAATTTCAAGACAATGTATCAAATAAAGTATTTATCTCATGCTTTCCATTACAAACAGGCATACCTACTACATTACTTTGCTTTACACACACACATACTTACACAAAAAACAACTGGCTGATCAGTCAGAATAGTGGGCTTTCATTTGGGAGATCCAGGTTCAAATCCACTGTGAGGCAATGAACTTATGTCTGCAGACATAAAAACTCCAACCTTCACAGTTTATGGCAAATGCAATAGCCATGAGGTTTTCAGATGTTGTTTTAAGACACCCACCCCCTCCTCCCCCCAATCCAATTCCTATATTGCCTCATAAAGGTGTATGTGTGTGTGAATAGGGTAGGATGTTGGCATCTGTGGCTGTGGCACTGCGAATGCGCTTCATAATGCCAAGGTGCAGCAGACTGCCTTGCACTGGTTTCGACAGTGGTATCAAGAGACCCTGATTACTTTCTGCTAGCAACACAGTGACAACTCCTCTAATCCTGCAACTCCTGCTCACTTTCTGCTAGCAACACAGTGTCAAATTCCTCTACTCTTGCAACTTCTGCTAGCAACACTGTGTCAACTCTTTTTATTCTGCAACTTCTGCTCACTTTCTGCTAGCAATACTGTGTCAACTCTTTTTATTCTGCAACTTCTGCTCACTTTCTGCTAGCAACACAGTGACAACTCCTCTAATCCAGCAACTCCTGCTCACTTTCTGCTAGCAACACAGTGAAAACTCTAATCCTGCTCACTTTCTGCTAGCAACACAGTGACAACTCCTCTAATCCTGCAACTACTGCTCACTTTTTGCTAGCAACACAGTGACAACTCCTCTAATCCTGCTCACTTTCTGCTAGCAACACAGTGACAACTCCTCTAATCCAGCAACTCCTGCTCACTTTATGCTAGCAACACAGTGTCACATTCCTCTAATCTTGCAACTTCTGCTCACTTTCTGCTAGCAACACTGTGTCAACTACTTTTATTCTGCAACTTCTGCTCACTTTTTTGCTAGCAATACTGTGTCAACTCCTTTTATTCTGCAACTTCTGCTCACTTTCTACTAGCAATACTGTGTCGAACTCCTCTAATCTTGCAACTCCTGCTCACAACACTGTGTCAACTCCTTTAAAACTGCAACTCCTGTTCACTTTCTGCTAGCAACTCCATGTCAACCTCCTCTAATTTTACAACTTCTGCTCATTTTTTGCTAGCAACACCATGTCATCTTCCTTTAATCTTGCAACTCCTACTCACTTTCTGCTAGCAACATCGTCTCAACAGCATATCACAACTGAACTACCTGCAATAGTTTACAAATCTGAAAATCATAAACTCACAAGAAAAAAATCACTCACTTATAATTCATGTGTGGCCAATTGGCAAATGTTTCCCTTCTGGCAGCCTCACTATACATCAGTGCTCTGTTCACAGGCTCCTTCATTATCTCAGCCCGACTGCTGGGTAACAGGAAACCCAGGCGGTCAACAATGGCAGAAGCAACCGGAAAACCCTGGCCTGTTTGGCTTGTCTTAATGAGCTCTTCCATAAGAGACGAGCATACAGACTTCATGACCATATGCTGCATTTCCAGACACACTGTTGCCCACTGTTGAAGAACAAACATGCTGTTAACCTAGGTACTAAACGTTCTTACGGAAATTTCCATAACATACTTCTTTTTCTTCTCTTCCACCTTGTACCTCATTGAAAGGGGGGGGGAGGGGGGGTGTAATATTCGTAGATAAGTTCTGTCTAGTACCAGGGCATTCTTGTCAGGTGTCCAAACTACTGACTGATTAAAATACCTTATAAGTAATCAAATAAATTCTTAAAGTCTAAAAAAACAATCTGGGTGCTGATATACAATACTGCACTTTTTACCTTTTGATTCTTCAGCTAATCTTTTAGTTCCTTGTACTCATTTCGCCTTTTTTTTAAAGCAGTAATTAAGAAATATAGAATTCAAGCTTTTTTATATTCTGTTCCATTTTCAACTACCGATTTATTTACTTTCAGTTAACTGAAACTATCAAAGCCGTTAGTTTGTTTAGTTTAGTTAATTAACAGATTATCCTCACTGCCAGGATGCCATCTTCAGTATGTCCCCCAGCGTGTGGTGACTGTTAACACCGGTTCTGTGTTGGTTTATTCTTCTTCTTTGGCTGCCTATGTAGCGTTCATGTTTGGCGACACCTTTATTGACCTGAAGTTCTTGTCGGTTTTTTAGTGTTGCTGACCCACCATCGTCTCTTGAATCATCTTTTTGTCCTGTCTCCTTGAGAGCACTGAGAATATTGGCCAGGTCCATTGCTTTTCCTGTACCTACAACGGACCTGCCAGCAAGTCAATCCACTTGTTCATTCCCTCTTACCCCATACTACCCTGGCACAAAAAATGAAACCGATTCCTATCAGACAAGATTTCCTCAGCGACTATATTTTCTTCAAATTCATCCTGTCTCTATCTTCTTAAGCATGCTCAGTCCCTAGCCACAACATTGCTTTTGTAACTGCTAACACCTCCATAGTCAGACTACCTGTAGTCAAGGCAAAAGCCCGCTATAATTGTTAGCTTTGCCTTAAAGTCAATATCCACTGGAATGGTAGGATTCTTTCCATCAAGAACATTTTCTTTGCCAGGGCTGTGAAAATCAAGCCAAATGGGCATGGATTTGTGTTGAGTCTAGAAAAAACGGTTTGGTAGCTACTAATTCAAGTGTACAACAGGCAAGAAAGATTACAAGCAATAAATAAGTGCATCATTTTTACAACTATTAACATGATTAATTCAACAAACAAATAAACTGACTTTTGCTGTTTTATGGTTGCCGTGTGTCGCATCTTGTGCTGTTTGGATACCTAGTGACAGAGCCTTCATGAAGTCATCTACATATTCCTTGTTGCTCAAAGGTATGGCTAACAGTGTCTTTAGCAACTGTGCTGCCTGTGAAGCACATACACATTAACCTTAAGCACACTGTGAAAACAGGAAAACTGGACATTTTCCAAGCGTACAATAATAATGAAATCAAATAATGTGATCTTTAATAGAAGTATACATTTCCATTAAATATTTTATGAAATAATATACTGTGTTTCAATTCACTCAGTGTGAGGCTAAATATTATTACATATCTGCCGTAGGTTGCCGCCGTCAAGTTTAAATAAAGCATGTATTTTCATTGCATAAAGTCATAAAGTAGATACAGTGAGTGGGGAGAAAAGGTGAAAGGTATAACATCAAAAGATGACGAAAGCAGTGCAGTCTTAGAGAGCATATTATCAAGGTGAGAAACAGACAAGGTTATAAATTCACTGTAGCCAGTCTTTTTTCTAAAGGCTGCACCTGAGCACCAGACTCTTTTGCTTGGACAGAAAGCCAGTTTGGGCCTGCCCCTAAATGCAGTTGTCACTAACAGCAGCAATTAGATTTTAAAGCAAAAAGTCACTAACAGCAGCAATTAGATTTTAAAGCAAAAAGTCACAAACAGCAGCAATTAGATTTTAAAGTAAAAAGTAACAACTTCAAGTAAGCTAATGAGTTTTCCTATTTCACTACCATAAATATGTCTGAAGTATTTCAATTTTCGAGATACAGTGCTATTTATGATCAAATATTTTTCCTAAGTTCAAACCTAACTGTTATGAACTAAAGATAAAGAATGAAATTTAGTGCTTTTTTTTTAAATATCTAAGAGACTGATAAACTTTTAATAGGATGAATTTGAGAACAGTGAGGAATTCAGAGAAAGGTCTGGACAATCACTGGTATGGACAGTTATAAGAGAAAGAAGATGGAGGAAAAAGATTAGGAACATTCTGAGTTGAAGTAAAGATCCCAAATTAGGATCAGAAATAAGATACAGATTGAGGAAGTAAGGATTTTAAAGAAAACAATATGACCAACGTTGACAAGAGAGGCTAGAAGTACCAAAATGGATTCCACACATGACATTGAAAAACTTTCTCATGACAGAACAGAACGGTTTATAAATGGCTCAACAAGATAACTGTAATTATTGTGACCACTTAGATGCTCTTAACGAAAGATGAGGTATGAAGTTATCTCTTTATATGAACTACAAAGGCCTTAACTTTCCCTTTTGCCTTTGACTGAAATTACTACGCCACATTTTTATGTTCAGTATTTTTCGCCATTGCTTTCTAAATAGTCGGTGCAATATACAACCGTTAAAATCCATGCAAAGCAGCCTGCCACCAAATCATCTGTGGCTGAATCACCTATTGGAGGTCTTTGGGAAGGATGAAGCATGTCTGCAACACCTAAGCCACACATGCCAACTATAGACTGTTCCACATTTGTAACCCCAAGATATGCTCCTCAAATAAACCAAATCGAATAAATACATGCAAATATCAACTTACCTCAACCAAAGGTAATTCTATCCTCACAACATCCTCTGTTTTTTCTACAGGGGTCTGCAAGGCTGTATCTACAAGTAAAATACCCTGCAGATCCCCCCTTACACCCAGTGCACAGCCATCGCAAAACACGGTCTTGTCTTTTTCTGGCAGATGTACACATTCTAAGATGTCACACTTGTGTCCTGAAACAGTGTAATAATCAGTCAGTGTTTTGACATTTTTTGGGCTCAGAATGAATGTATATTTAAAAACATTATGTTGTAAAATGAGATGACAACAGCTCAGAGAAGCCAGCTTCAGGCCTCAAAAATTAGATATCTGAGAAAAGTGGTCCAATTGACAAGAAAAAACAAAGTTTGGAATGAGACAATACATCAGGACCTCATTATCCTAGCCTTACAAATTCGAGTGGATTAGTCAGTTATGATGGTTTGGACATGTATGCAGAATGGGAGTAAATCAGCCACCATGGCAGGCACAGAAGGCCAAGAACTAGGGCAACTGAGGGTTCACTGGGAAGACAACAATCAACAGTCCCTGACAAAGACAAAAAGAAAATTGTAGACAGAGAAGTCCTGTGATCTCTCTGGCACACCTCTACACCCAAAGGTAGAAGAGGAGCCACTGAGTAAGTAAGTATAATGAGTATATAGAGTTAACTCCATAGATTTATTCTAACCAGCACTTGATGAGTAATGTTGTCAATGTCATGTCAGCCAGCTTCACTTTCTAAGAAATGTCTTCACCTTGAAGGGAATTTGAACAAATGAGCACCAAGTTGGAGCCCAAAAATTTTAGCCATTGTTCTTCTTCACATTTACTGGCTGTAACTCTAGCCGAAATTTTTTATTTTTTTTTGTCAACCTTTGGACTTAAGACTTGTTTCAGAATCTGAATATTGCAAGCCTGACTCATCTATATGAAGATATCTGATTCCTTGCGTCTCAGGCAGGTGTACTCTGAAGGAAGTCCCCAATTAGCTGACTCTTATAACATGCTTGTTGGGGAGGCAGTTGAGTCTATTCTTGATATTGCTGAAATGATCTTCCGGAACGGGAATTCCACTATTCTAAAGCTACTTCAGTGTACTGAACTGTTAGTTTATGAATTAATACCCTTAATTAGAGTTAATCTTCAATACCCTTAATTAGAGTTAATCTTCATCAACAATAACTAACTGGCTCAAGGTTAAGAGTAACATGTTTCCAGTGGAGCATCAACTTAGGGATGATGTGCAGAGAGCCTCCTCCACACCCCCATGTTGCCAGTAATTAGTTAGTGATTTATAGAGATTATGAATTTTGAAGTTGCTGTCAGCTGTTTTCTTAATTCAAATTTTTAACCTTCAAATTGTGCACACAGGTCATTTGACTTTTATCATTCATCACTAGATATTTCATTCATTAACCAATGATCATCATATGACTGTTTTCTTCACATAATTCAAACCAAGTAAATCAACTAGGTCTGCACCAGTTAGGGGATAATGTCATAACCTCTAAGGAACTATGCCTATCACTGCATTTCTGAAGGTCTTTAACATCTTCTGCCTGCTCCATTCAAGCCTGTAATGATTATCTATCTGGTTCAGTGCTGTATGAACAAGATGATGTGGCAAAAGTCTAATCTGGTTCTGTGAAGCTAACAGGGTCAGCTGGTGTCCGCAGAGACATACAGGTTATCCTTTTAACCCCTTGGAGACGACTCAGCCGATCTATCAGCCAAACAGCAAAATCACCAAAAAGACGAATGGGCTGATCCGTCAGTCCGATAATACAAGCCTTGAGATTGGCTGGCAGGTTAACGTATCGCCTAGATTGCTTCTCGCATTTCTTGCATATGTGGGCTGTTCAATGATAAATGACAAAATGTGATGTGTTGTGTAATTTTACACTGATTCTTTGGGGGTATTACCTGTGCTCCACAATGGTGAAAAAGACTTGCATCAGAGCAACCAAAATATAGTAGGAGGCAGGAAAGGTAAGAGCTATGTGCCAGAGATGTCTGGAGTATCTACATTGGCTTTGCTCCCAAAGCACAGAGTTAGTACTTATTTAGGCTTCATTCATCAAAACATTTAGCCAGATTGTTCAATTTAGTCATGTTTGTCCTCAGTAATTAAAAAAAAAATGCATAACTGTGGGCAAATTTGATAGCTAATTTGAATAAATGAGATGTCAGTGTGATTCATAAAGATTGTGTTAGTTCATTCAATTTCGGACACAACTATATATAGTTATGTATATGTTAATTAAACGCTTTATTTTTATAATTTGTGTGTGTGTATATTAAGAGAATCCCCCCTGAAGGCTCTGTCTTTTTTGGTACTGAAACTACAAATAAGCCTCTGTCTCCAAAGGGTTAATCTAAATATAGCTGGGTTTCCTTTATTTATGCCCATAACCATTACACAACCCTCCACATTCGTCTTCTTGTTTCACTGGTACCCTCAGAACCTAGATTTGCTCTGGTGAAGTGTGCAACAAAAGATCACATACCTAATTTCTCACAGAGGAAAGCAATGTTTGTCTAAAAAAAAAAAAAAGAATAGTCTCGTACCAGACAACAATGTGACACAATGCGCTGAAAAGGGTGCTTCATTTAATTTGTTTAATGACTGACATGTTACGATGCAATAATTTCAAGATACTCCGTTTTTAAATGTAATCATTAACAGTACACAAGATACATCACTATTTTATTGAAAAGAACAAGAAGGAAAGTGACAGCATTATTTATTATATTATAATTATTTACATCCTCAACTCTTTCAGTCCCAAACAACGTATGATGTGGGATTATTTTTTTTGTGGGCTATCTTCCGAAAAACAGTCCCAAATTATCGAGGCCGAAAATATACCCTAACAGGGCCTCGGTCACATGTCAAATGCGGACTTCCGGCGACTTAAACTGCGCACTTCCGGTGACTACCCCTGAGAGTATCTCCACGCCACTATGCGCAGTGTGGATTAGGGCTAAACTAGATGGCTTGGACATGAGGAGCAGCTACCGCATCTCCTGCAGTTTATTTTATTTGCTCGTGAGTCCTAGCCATCTAGTTTAGCCCCATCTACCCCGCTACGCGCGGCGTGGGAGATACTCTTGGCGGTGGTAGAAGTCCACAATTGACACGTAACTGAGGCCCTGTTAGGGTATATTTTTGGCCTCGAAGAAAGCCCTTTTGTGATTCCTACCAAAAACCTAATGTGTTTTCGTACTGTATATATTTAATCAGAACATACTAAAGAATGCTGCCTTCCTCAGTATTTAGCTTCTTTCTTCTTCTTCTTTTGTTCGCCTGAAATAAGTTGTCTATATCAGCAATTTTGTCTCTTGTATAAATTTCACTGTCGTTATTAGTTCATTCAATTTAGCTTCTTTAAAAGTAATATACTCATGGACTGTCCTATTGATAATGTATACATTTGATCATCATCATCTCATGTAAAACCTTCAGGTACTCAAAGAGTTATATATTAAATAAGCCAATAAGCAATAACCAACCAGATGTTTCGTCTTAGAAAGACAAGTTCAAATACAACTGTGACACAAAAAACATGCATTTCGCTATGCTACACATTTCTTAATGTGAATTAATGGTTAACAATTAAATGAAAAAAAATAAATGTCGTCATTGCTATATTCTGCTATTTGGTCTGTCTGTCACTGTCACAGCTTTCCTACTTATCAAATTTAATCCGTTACCGAACTGACTTTCAGAACCGTTTCTTCTAACTCTTAAAATTGTTAATTATAACATGAACAGTTTTGGTTTACTAAAAATATAACATTTTCATTTTATTACTGACCGCTGAAATGTAATCTATGCTATTAATATTAATCCATATGGTTAATGGTTTCATTTCAGATCTATATTTATTAATTCGCAACAAACAACTTACCCGAAAGATTTGATTTTTTCAAAAAGGTGCCAGAAAATGCATCTAAGACAGTGATGTTATGGTCACTTGAAGTCAATATAACCAAATTTAATGAAGAGTTGTAAGTAACATTCCTGGTATTTACATCAACTGACAAACATCCGTCTTCCCGAATGGTCCACTGCTTCTCAGTGTCCGCCATTACTTCTGTACATAGACCATTTCCGTAGTGTCACGTTTTTTCGAGATTTGATTTGAACTATATAAAAATTTGTTTTTCTATAATATTTTTAATAATTGTTGTGAATGAAACTTTAAAATATAATTTAAAGTGAAAGCGCTTGCTTTTATTTTTAAAAAAATGTTAACATAGTGAAAATTATTTTTAGTAACTCTGGTCACATGAAAGTCATGTGAAATGATATATATATATATATATATATATATATATATATATATATATATATATATATATATATATATATATATATATATATAGATATATATATATATATATATATATATATATATATATATATCGCAACTTTTGTACAGAGAAGAAAAAAAAACTGGTAATGTTCAAATATAATTACTACAACAGAACAAGGCAACTGATTTTTTTTTTTTTTTTATTATTATTATTATTAGAAAAATGGACAGGGAACACTATTTTTAAAAAAATTAGGGAAGATATAGCGCTGGCTACAAGAGGCAGGTTAAGTTGACAGAAAGCCATTCGTCACAGCCGCTGAACTTATAATGAACCCAGAGGACATCATATATCTGTAGGGCATCTTCTTCTCCTTCTTTGCGTTCACCAGCTGTAAACTTTAGCATAAGGTTCAGGCTGTTCATCCACTTCTGGACTGCAGTCATGTTCCAGAACCTATGTTGCGTGTGCATCCGTTTTACAGATCTGACAGATCTGTATGCAGACTGCTGGTTCCTTGCCTCTCAGGCAGATGCACTCTGACTTGAAAGGAAGCTCCCAATTATTCGACTCTTACGACATGCTTTTGTGTAGGCAGTGGGTCTATTCTTGTTTTTCCTTTAACAGGACCCCAGAACCCACACGGGGATGTAGGGCATCTGACATTGCGTCCTGTTTTCACCGTTACTCTTTTCGTTGTGTGTGTGTGTGTGTGTGTGTGTGTGTGTGTGTGTGTGTGTGTGTGTGTGTGTGTGTGTGTGTGTGTGAAAGCGTTACTTGAACCCGGGTGTCTTAGCAAGTCAGTCACTGAAGATTCCTAGTAAGCCAACCACTTTCATGGGAACGCCAGACTTCACTCGAGATCTTTCTTCCTTGAACACCTTTAGCCACATAAGAGTCGGCTCATGTCTTTCACTACTTTGGATAAAAGTCTTTTCTTCACCTCTTGGTCTACTTGAACTTGCTTAGTTCTCTCCCAAAGCTCTTCATTTGTGATTCTATCATACCATTTAATTAAATATATTCTTTAAAATTAAAACATTAAAACAAACGCCAAGAAAGGTCTCTCCACAGTAAAGGTTATGGGAGCTGCAAACTTTGAGCAACGGCTACTTATAATGTTGTATCGTGCGTTCATTCTCTCCACCATTGAATATGCTTTCGCCATCTGGACACTCAGCACCCCACAGATGAACAGACTGGAAAAATTGAAAACCAGGTAATGCGTATTATTCTCGGATGCACTAGAGACACCTACTATAAATCCATGCGATACCTCTTGGATTTCTCCACAATGGAAAACAGAATCAAGCTTTCCAGGGCTGTTGCTTTCCTCAAAGTGAAATCAGACCACGGACACCCACTAATGACTAATCACTATTTTGTAAAGGCGCCATTTAATGAATGTGTGTAATTTACTAGTAATTGCCTTAGTTGTTCTCCATGTTTCCGCCCCATACAACAGAATACAACAGAATTTATTTGACACCAGAACTTAAAATTCTAAGTTTAGTATTTCTTTTAACTTCTTTTGACCTTTACAAATTCCCTAGTGGTAAAAAAGGTGCTCTTGCCTTTTGTATTCATTTGATTTGTNCCCAAAAAAACCAAACCTTTTTTTGAAAAGGGTTTTGGATCCTTTTTGTCCCCTTCCCCAAAACAAGAAATTGTTTTGGGGGCTTTCACTTTTTAAAAATGAGTATTTTTAAAAAAACGTGTGAAAAAAAATGATTTTCTCCAAAAAGTGATGAGTTTTGAGTTTTATATAATATATAATATAAAAAAAAATATAATATATATTTTATTATATATATTATATATATAACAAACCATACCATTTTCCGGGTTGTAGGAAAAATTAGAATAATATAAAGAGCATTAGAAAAACCCCAACAGAACATCTTTAAATTTGGGAAAATTTTTAAAAATGGAAAAGAAATTGGGGAACCATTAAAAGCCCACTGTACAAAACCTAAATTCAAGGGAAAATTTTTTACAGCTATTGAGAACAGTGGGATACGTTCCCGGTTGAGCCCAATTCAGAGACACCCTAAAGGGGAACAACCCCCACCAACCCATAGATTCAAAAAAAAAATGGATTCACCAAAATTCTGCATTTTATGGAGAAAAAAGGAAGAAAAAAAAATGAAAAGAAGAATCTCAAATACAAAAAAAAATAGTAAACAAATGCAAAGTCCCCTAAAGGCCTGGCTGAATAAAATTTTGGGGAACAGAGTTTGGGGAAAACAACGGGAAAAAAATCACTTCCAGGGTTCCCAAAAAAAAATTTATTAAAAGGAAAATGACACAAAAACAGCACTGGATGTTTTAAATAAAAAGTTTGGTGATTTTTTAAAATGTGACTGTAATAAAATTTAACAGAGGGGCCAATTATTGGGGGAATTTGTATGATGATAATAGACCCGTGTAAAAACTGCAGACCAAAAAATTTAGGGTTTTTTTTCCCCCCAAATAATGACTGCAAAGTTGAGGAGCAAACATTTTAAAAGAAAAGGAAAAGCACAGGGGCCGACAACATCCACGGAAAGAAACAAAAGCACTGGGAGTTTTAAAATTTAAAAAAAACTAGTTTTTAAAATTTATATTTTAATCGTGGGTATTTTCCCAAATGACCTTTTAAAACCCAATTTTTATAGCTCTCCCTAAGAATCCAGGACTAAAAAATGGGAAGCCCATCGCCCAATAAAAGTCTTTGAGTCACAAAAACTAAGATTTTACTGAGAATAATTAGGGAAAGAAAAAAAAAACAAATTAAACCAAAATTTCCAGTGAGAACTTTTGGATTTGTAAAGGGAAAGGTCCAAAAAAATTTCCATATACTTTCCTAAGGACATTGTAAGAAAGAGAAATAAAAGAAGAAAAATTTGTCCTTTATGTTTCAAGACTTTAAAAAAGCTTTTGGGAACGGGGGTAAAGCATGAAGAAGTAATCAACTGTTAAAAAAATTTAAACTTTGGGGGGGAAACTCTAGGGTAATAAAAAATTGTATTGGAAGAAAACAGCAGCTATAAAATAAAAAACTGTTTAGGTACTTTCAAACATAAGAGGGGTACACAAGGATGTTAAAGTCCCCTTTTTGGTTTTCAAATCATAATATATAAGAAGTTTTAATTGGTACCAAATTTGGGGGGTTTGGGGCCAATATAAAAAATTTACTTTTATCTAGACCAGTTTGATACAAAAAGTCAAAAAGAACTACGGGAATGATAGACTTGTGGTGTTAAAAAGTGGAAAAATGGGCCTCATTTTGAAAATGGGAAACAGAAAAAATGGGGGTATCAAGAAAGAATTTTTCCCTAAGGGAAAATAAAGTTTTATTTTATTTTAGGACAAGTACAGAATTTAAGTATCTGGGCACATGGAAACATCAAGGAAGTCAAACTGAGAAAACAGAATAGGCAGAAAAAAAACTAATTTTATAAAAGGAAAAACATTTGTGAAATATCCTTGTCATTGATTTAAAAAAAAGAATTTTTGTTTGCTACATAAAATCCATTTTAACATATGGCTTGACCGGAAAATGGGTAGGCAGCCAAACATTTCGGAGGCCTCGAGAGGGTTTTTTACAAAAATGCTAGGAGACAATCATCATTTTTCGGCCATGTTATGAGAAGGGGAAAATAGAACATGTTTTTGACCACTGGAAAGATACGTGGAAGGAGAGATAGAGGGAAGACAAAGAGAGAAGATGCTTGACAGTCTTGTTGCATGGCATGGAGGTGTGTCGGCACACGAACTGATACATGCTGCAGGAGATCGCAGATTATGGAGAGGCATGATCGCCCACGCCAGTCGGCAAGGCACACACATATATATATATATATATATATATATATATATATATATATATTATATATATATATATATATAAATTCATCTAATATATGTGTTTAGTCATGTTGTGAGAAGAAGGAAACTGGAACACGCTGTGAACACTGGAAAGATCTGTGGAAGGAGAGAACAGCGTAAGAAGATTCTTGACAGATTCTTGACAGAATTGTGTCTTTGCATGAAAGAGTTTCAATACATAAACTGTTACATGTAGTTGTGGATTGGGCAGAGGCCTGATAGCCCACACCAACCGGCAAGGCTCTTGATGATGATGATTATTATGTGTATTAGTATAATCAAATTAATAAATTATCTGAACATCATTGAGCATTGTTTTGTATTTTCCTATAGTTTTTTTTTTCTTTTACTATGATGACCCAATGGGTCATGGGTTGGACGTTTGAGTAAAATAGGTCAAGGTCGCATATTTTTAAAAAAAAATTATTGGCCTAATATTGTACCTTGTCATCAAATTTCAATTTTTTTCTCCACCCGGAACATGGTATGGGTTTTTCAGGGTTAAAGAAAGTGCCAAGTCGTACTGCTTGGCGAAATCGAAACTACGAATACCATTCTCACGTCACCGTAGATGGAGAAGACACTAGCGGAGGGCATGGTATCCGATCAAAGGGATAGGTTCCCACAGACAGGATGATGAGTACTTGACATAAATGACATGTTCTGCAGGAAAGTGCATGAAATGGGCGAGCTGGTGGGGGACCGAGTTTCAAAGACATATATTTCCACAATTAGAATGAGAATCCCCGGTGCACATGTCCCAGAACTCCCGCTCCACTGTTAGGGTATATTAGGGTCCTTGACGACAGCCGGCTTGAGGACTTAAAATGACAAAGAATTTCGTATCGTGTTAACACGGTTGCAGTCGAGTTTTTGTGTGTCGTTCAATCCCATGAGGACCT